ATTTGGTATGCAGTTTTTTTAAATTAATAAAAACTAACACAAAACTGCTTTCCAAATCGAAATTAATGCATTTTTGCCTTAGTTATGATATATTTTAATTGTTACCTGCAAGGGTATACAAACTTTGGCTGGCCAAAGTTAGCTTTCTTTCTTGTTTTTTTATATATCATTAAACCAAAACCCCCAAAAGCCTTATCCCAGGGCATCTCATAGTCGAGACGCTTTCGACTTTACCGTTATTTCATGTTTGTTTTGGCTTTTGCGGACTTTTCGCGTAAAAAATGTGTGCAAATGTCCAAGTTTGAAGTGTCAACGCTGTCGGCCTAATCAATTTGGCTGCTAACCGCTACTTGGGAGTCGGATGAGATGATTAGGCCATGTTTGCCGCCTGAGCTGGGTTATGTAAGTGCGCGCCATCCGATCCGATCCGTTGAGATCCGATATAGCGGGGCGGGGCGGGGCGGTGGCAATAAGCCATCTCGGTCTCAGCTCAGGTGTCGTCATCGTCATCGCTCTTCAGCTACAGCGTTCACAGCGTTTCAACATATTTCTGCCCGCTTTTTCTTTAGTTTTTGTTGCTGTTTTTATTTTTTTTTTTTTATTATTTTCCAGCCATTGTTGTTGTTTCTACTGCCGCTGCTGAGCGGCAGTTCCGCCAATTAGCGACGCTTCCGCTGCCTGCACACACACACACACACACACAAACACATACATATGTGAAATAATTTTCTCGGCTTTTCCTTTTTCACTTTTATTTTTTGCCTGTCCATTCATCTTACTTTGTTGCAGTAGCAAACAAAAAACTCGCAAATAAATTTTAAATTAACTCCTCGGGCTTGTTTACTTTTTTTAAAGTGTTTCTTTGGATAAATTCTTTTTTAATTAGACAAAATAAATTTCCTGTAAGAGGTTATACCAACAACCTGATTAAAATATTTTTCATTAAAATTATATGTATGTTTTTAATTAGCAAAGCAATTAAAAAGCTTTCTTATAAAATTCCCCTTTTAACTGCCTTCTGAAAATCAAAAATAAGAATTTTTTAATAGATTTACAAATAATAAATGATGTATTATATTTCAGTACTTGTAACTTTCAAAAAGAAACACTAATTATAATTTTCCTAAAAAAGATTGTCTTCAATTTAAAAAAGTTAAATCTACTTTCCATTATCTTAAATTCAAATTAAACTTATATTAAACCATAAAACCAATAAAAAAAAAATAATAATACAAGCCAAGGCCTTTTCTGGATACGACCTCAAACCCAGTTTCTCTCCGACTTCCGTTGTTTCACAAGTTAATAATGTAAACTATGATCATTAAAAATAAATACCAAATTGGAAATAAGATGTAAAACAAGGCCTTTTTAAAAGACATTTAAAATGAAAAATCATTTCAAGGGCATTTCTCGATACGCCTTTCTTTTCTTTTATTTCCCGTTGTTTCATCAAGCAAATGAAATGAATTATAATTTTGTGGAAAATTTGCATAAATTTACAGAGTCGCCGAACAAAAAGCCATAAAACATTGCGCCTTCGGTTACGCGTCAGAAATTAACAAATTAGTGCGATGTTTCGCAAGGCAACGCCAACAAACTTCCGAATTAGCCGCAAACCCAATCAGCAAAAACCCGCTGGAAAATAAAAACAATGCCCTAACCGAACATAAAATGTAAAATGAGACTTTCAAATGTGTTTTGTTTTTTTCTGTATTTTTTGTTTAAAATTAATGCCGCACATGCTCGTGGCATGCAGATGGCCCAAAGACAAGCTCGGAATGTGTTGTACTTGCAGCTTAGGAATCCGGCCAAGAGAGTCAAGCAGCCGCAGCCAATTGATGGACCATGCCAGATGGGCTCTTCTTCGGGGACCATAATATACATACATATATATATGTATATATGGACGGTCTTTGGTCTGCAGGCCGTGCACGCTTCTCACGCTTGTCAGAAAATGTCAAAAGTGACAATGCAATGGGGCATCCCCTCAGTGGGGCTTCTTCTGTGTATCAGCTGGGATTTAAAAATTAATTATCTTGGTAAATAAGAATTTATATTACTAATTAAAAGTAATAAAATTGTTATTGAATTGATTTTTAATGGTAGTTTTATGCCAAAAATGGATAAGACTTAATATTGTAATAAAATGTCAGCTTAACATTCGCCTTAAAAATGCCTTACATTTTGCTTACGTCTCTATTCAACTTTATAATAATTACTCAATAAAAAATGGTTTGGAATTTAATATAAAAAAAAAAAAAAAACTATAAAAACGTGACTTGAATACAAATGAACTATTATCTAATTACTCAACTTAGTCTGAAACGAACTTGTGTGAAATCCGTTAAAATCAATTACCATTTGGCCAAAAGCCTCTTAAGGATTTTGTAGGCGTCGAATGGAGCTGCTTGAGTGTTTTCCCATTAGCTTAAAAAACCAAAACAAAAAGCGACTCAAAGTATATTTAAGCCCACTTTTGCGGAAACAGTCGACAGAGTTTTTAAGGGGATTTTGAGGGGTTGTCAGAGGAGCTTCAAAAAGGGGTTTCCAGAGGGGATTTTCAGAGGGGCTAGAGGGACTTACAGAGGAGCTTTCGACCAATTGTCACAGGCGCCATGGTCAGTCCAAAAAACGGTGAAAGACAAGCTGACCAAATGGACAGGGTTCGGGGCAATTCAATGGACTCGGAGACAGCCGAATGGCTGCTGTGTCATCTTGCAGACGCCTCTTTGTTTAGTTCCTCAGCCATTTACAGTCCCAGTCACAGTCGCAGACCTCTTCTTCCTTCCTCCTCCTTTGATCCATGAAATTTTTACCAGTTTTGCGTGAAGATGACTTTTTGCCTCGCCTGGCACCACCGTTGATGACCTTTTACGTCGCCTTAAGACTGCCTTCACTTCATCACGGACTTGGTTCGAGAGAAGACCAACGAAATAAAAGAAAAAATATTTGCATATCATTCATTTTTGTGGCAGCAGATTAGGGATGCAAACATTTAGATATAAGCAGAAATATATATATTTTTATAAGATAAGTTAAGAAAGTTGGTTATTTCACTTAGCTGCAGTTAGTTGTGATCTTTCAAAGGTACATTTTTTATTTTCCCATAAAAATCATAACGATACATTATGATTTTTCACTGTGAAATCCTGAACTTACAGCACATCCCTGACTCGAATTTCAGAGGCAACTCTTTCCCTTGGCCAGCTCCTGGCGCCTGAAAATTATTTGTGCGGGAGGCCAGACCGAGATAAAAAACAATTTACGATTATTTCGTCTGGGATGTGGCTGTGCCGTGGCCTTTCCTGCAATCGACATCATCTACGCATTCAGCGTCCATAAATTGCACAAAAATGTCAAGGATTTACCTGGTCGACGCGTCGAGTGAAAGAGGGAGTGGATTAATCAAGGGAATCGCCAATACAATTCCTCTCCCAAAAAAACCTTCCAGGCGGGTTGACAATTTAATTGGGCTTACAAGGCCGAACATGGCCTTCTTTCACTCACAAAAATGGGAAAATAAAATAAAACAATCAGCCGAAAATAAATCATTCAAGCCAATTCAATACAATTCAATTCGGAAGAAAGAAGCGGAGACCGCTAAACGAGTTTGCATTAATAAGTATATTCTTTTCGCTGATTGGATCTGCCATTGACTGATTGTCTTTTAATGGCGTTTAAAGCATTCCAACTGCCTTCCCTCCGTCGCCGTCTTCCGCTAATTTGACAGAGTGTGATTGATGTGAAATACTCGGGTATTATAGGTATTATGAAATATGTTTTCATTAATGTTTTTGTTGTGGTGGGCGATTAGTCAGCAGAAGGTATAGAAGAGAATTTTGAATGGCAGCAAAGTGGGTCACTGGCAAAGTAATGCCATATCCTGTTACGCCAGAGATACAGTGGGTTAAAGAGATCAACTTTTTTGGCAGAAAGTGAAAGAAGCTTAGGAAGATAAAACTGTAAGATACTTGGTAAAATCAGAAATGCTAAAACCTTGTATCCCAAGAGTTTCTAGCAAGAAAATCTAATTTAAAAAATCCCTAAATAACTTACAATGAAATAATATTTCTAAAGTTAAGAAGGTTGAATATTTCCCTTGTCTGGCCACTGTGCCAGGTGTGGGCCAGACATATTTGGAGTGGTTTCCCGTTCGTGTCTACCTCATGTCAAAGAAAATCAATTAACGCAAGATGGGCGCTCCAGAGCATCCGGCTGGCAATGTTGATGATGCCACTGATGATGAGTCAAGCCAAAATCCAAAATTCAAAATCTTTTCAACGTGGGTTTGGCATGTAAATTGCGTCTAAGTCTCGTCTGTCTTGTCTGGGATTTTTTCTTTATTATAATTATTAATGAGTTGTAAGCCAGCCCACTGTCACCTGTGAATAAAGGAAGGCGGAAATTTCTGGTAGCCATATTAAGTGATCAGAGTTCTGCCAATATATTAATATATGTTATAATTACAGTCATCATATAAATATAAAAAATTGAATTTTAACTTAACTTAATACCCACAAAAATCACTCACAATTGCGACAGACACATTAAAAATGAAAAAATCATTATTTAGCCAATTAGTATTTCCATAAAAGATAAAGTCTTTAAAAGCTGAACCCAATTAGAAAATTTATAGCCGCTCTTTACAGGCACATTCTCTTTCAAAAGGATAGATCAGGTTGTGCATTACCTTTAAATTATTAAATAAGCAATTAGATTTGTTTTAAAAATTTTAATAAAATTTTATTTAAAAATAAAATAAAGCAAATAAATATTAAAATCCAGGGCCCTCAAGAAAACCTAAAATATTTGCATTTATTAACACAACATTTATCTAAATGTTTATATAATAATTGTTTCTGACACATCAATGTTTATAATTATTATTATAATTATTTCCCCTCTTGAATAACACCTAATAATGTAACTTAATTCGACATTTGTAGTTCATTTCTATCTTAAACTGATTTTTTTGTTTACCTTTTTGTTACCCATTTTAGCCATGTGCCGGCCATAAACCTAGAAGACACGCTTCCTAATTGAAAACAGAAGACGGATAAATGGACACGTAGCAGGAGCAAGCGAGAGAGAGAGTGTGTGTGTGAGAGAGAGAGAGCGAGTGACGATCGTGATTTGGATTTTCAGCGTGATATCAGAACGGATCGATCGGTCAGCGGACAGCGAAACGGCCAAGAAAAACAAATTCACGCCAAAATGTCCAACGCCACAACAAAAATGGTTTACAGTTATAGAATTTTATGGCTTTCCGGCGTTTTACTAGGTGAGTACGACGAGTACCTGGCCTCAATGGAGACCTCACTTCACTTCACTTTGATTTCGAGAAACGACTCGACCAGAGACGAGACGAGACAGCGACACAAATTAAATGCTAAGTGCCTCGATTAAGCCATTGGCTTTGAGTTGGTTAACCACTGGCCATTCTGGCTCTCCTTTGCCACTCCACTCGCTGGCCTTTTTGGCCCACTGTCTTTGGGCCAAATGCGTGAGCCAAATAACTTAAAAACAAATTGGCCATGGTCGATTATGTGGGAAGAGGAGGAAGCAGAAGCAACCGAAATGGGAAACACACCTGGCAAATAATAAAGATAATAATAAGAATTGCACCTGCAAAATAAATAGGTAGAAAAAATATGTAAAAAGGGCGTAATTGATATGATAATGAGTTAATAAGCTTTATTATTATTTTTAAAAATTATTTATTACCTTACAAATGTTTGCAAAATTACCAGAAATGCAGTAAGAATGTAGTAATAATTTCATATATCTGATAAAAAGATATTAGTTGAAACTTTGAACGGAATTATAAAGAGTACTATTTAATAATTTACTGGTTTTATTTCAACAAAATTAAAATGTCTCATAATTTTAGCTTTGGTAGCAATTTAGTATTGTTTATTGATAACGGATGTATCCATTCACACCTATAAAAACCTGCAATTATTATTTTTAATAAGCCAGATCCTGTTAAACTCAACAAAAGTACCTGTTTTGAAGAAACCGTTTACTAAGACCTGCTTAATAGATTTGTAAATAAACAGGCTTATATATATAGAAATTAATATAGAAATTAATACCAGGAAACGTTTACTTTTTGTACAAATTTAGCCTAACAACAATAGTTGTTAAAGAATGAAGTAACTAAAGACTACAATATTTTGAATACTAGAAAAAGTTATACACCCAAAAATATCAAGTTTTTAAAATATTTGCATATAGTTGATCATCAAAAGAGAAATGTAGAAATTTAGTATAATAATTGTATCAACAAAAAATGTATTCCTTAACTGTTTGAATTATTATTGTTATTTAAAAATCTACAGAACTATTTATAAATGTTATGAAACTATATTTTGTATTATTTCTAAATATTTACCATAATTTTCTTTACCTTAAAGGTCCCCTTTTGCTGGCCGCCATTGCAGTCCAGGGCCAAGAGCCAGCCAGTCCAGTATTTCAAAATCACAAGACGAAGGAATGGACGAATTTAGATAACATTACATTCTCATTCGATTGCAAGCGGCGATCGGTGGGTTTCTACGCCGATATGGAGTACAATTGCCAGGTGAGAGAGTTACCAACAAAAAGCAGAGATTGGAGAGATCCAACCAAAGCTTAAGCCAAGCTTTAATCGAGTTTTTTGTTGAGAGTGTCTAAAAGTATACTATTTTTTATGCAGATATTTCATATGTGCGATGAAGAAGGCAATCGGATTCCACATCTTTGCGCCAATGAGACGAGCTTTAATCAAGAGTACAGAATCTGTGATTGGGACTACAACTTCAACTGCACAGAGTCACCAGTAGGTTGCCTCCAAGTCCCCCTAAAATACTTTTATTAATTTTCTTAATACTTTATTTGTAATCTTTAGAAATGGTTCTATCTGAATGAACTGACATACGCCACAGATCCGCCAGATGAGGACGACGAGGATTACTGAGCGATTTGCAATCTAATTAAATATTTATTGTCTCTCCCAAAAGCTGAAACACAAAACTAATTAAATTAAAAAGCCGCTGATAATAATTGTATATGACAAACAAGAACACGAAAAAGAGTAATTTGTAAAATTCTATAAAATTATGTAAAATTCCATTAATGCAAGTGAGATATAAACTAATTTAAGCGCCCATTGTTGACGATTTTGTTGAGTTTTTCGTTTTGTACTTTAGTCTAATTGAGTCGAGAATGAGTCGTGCGAGGAGCAGGAGGAGTGTATATACTGTATATAGAGATGGTCCCGGTTCCAGTTCCAAATCCAAATTTCGCCCCATTCTATCAAAGTTCTATCATTCAAAAATGCCCCGGAACAACCTCGGATGGGTCCGCCACATTATTGTATAATTTACAAATAATCTTCGCATATATTTGTAAGCAATCTTCAATCGAAATAAAAACAAAATCCAATTGCTACCCTAATGTTTTCTCTAATTAATTGCCTAAGTGGCCGAAAAACAAAATGTTTTCCATCATTGTTTTTTTTTAATAGTTATTAAAATGTTGTTGTTGCACACGTCACGGGAATCCACCGGGGATTTTCTATGGGTAAACAACCTACTATGAAATACCTACAAAAAATATACTCGGGGACAGGTAGTTGGCACCAAATGTTACCTAGGGGATGAGTCAAGTTCAATGACGAAATGAACACAAAGTGTTGAACCAAAAAAAGGGTGAACTTAATTGGCGAAAATTGGCAACGCTCAGCGTTGCGTAAAATTGTCAACCCGCCTGCTTGTCAGTCAGAGTCACATTTTTATAAATTGCCATGGCCCGCGGTGAGAATTTTCAGTTTGAAAACGAATTGCCACCAATCGCCACCCAAAATGTCACACAAAACCAGCTTCAACCTGTCTCTGCTCCTGCTTGCAGCTCTCCTGGGGGTAAGTTCTTGAATATATGTAAATAATATGAATAATACATTAAACTTTCTTCTTACAGCTTGCAACTGCCCAGTACTATCCACAGTACAATCCGTATTATACTCCGAGTCCTACGTTCTCCAGTTTAAACAATTATTACTACCAGACCACGCCGTATCCTTACTACTACAGCACGTATACGACCCCGAGTCCCTACAGCAACACCCAAATCCGTATCTGGCCTTATGTGATCGGCCAGTATCTATATCCCACTTACTATAACACCAACTACTATAATCCATATGCCTCGCTGAGCAACTCCAACTGGCAGAGCTACTATGCCAATGTCTATCAATCGAATTGGGGCAAAAAATGAACTTAAATTTTATATTTAGTATTCCTAAGTGTTTTTTTCGTTTGTTAAGATGTTCAGCCAATAAAAATTAAATACTTTTTTGATACAAAAAAGGAATTTGGGTAATAATTTAATTGTGGTAAATTATTGAGGCTCATTACTCTTTCTTAAACAGGTTTCATATTTTTACATAACGTTTAGCAACTCAACTTTACTTACTTAATAAATAATTTGCCTACATTTAAGGCTTATACGGATATAGTGATATGTAACATGGTAAATGTAGATGATTAAACATGTTATTTTTATTAGTTACATCTTTTGTAGTTTCCTTTTTAGATATTTTATAACTTTGTCTTAAAGCAGAGTCACTGCACAATTACTAGTGTAAACTTGTTTTATAATAAAGTAATTTTACTAGAAAAAATACTGGTGTTATATTACACAAAACATTTATTTAGTAAGGCAGAAAACTTTGATTTAAAATTCTTTAAAATTAAGAAAGGCCACTAGAACTTCTTGTTAGTCTTTTTAAACCTCCCTACCATAAAAATGTCTCGTAAATTACCAACCTAATTGGTAAACTGAAGGCAGTTAAATAGTGTGAAATATATATTCAAAATTAGTCTCCACCAACCTTGTTTGTCTTCATTTCTAGACTCCAACTCATAAAAGGGAAATCTGAAATGTAATAGGATCGTTTAAGATAGCTAATTGCTGTGAAAGAATAAAGAATCTCTGTGGGAAATCGAAGCAGGCATAAAAATGCAAATGTTATGACTTCAAACTCTAAACTTGTAGCACCAAGAAATTTTGATAAGACCGACTTTAAGCCACAAGAGGTGTGAGATCCGTTAGGATTAAAGCAGCTTATTCTGAATGGATTCCAGTTGATAGGCGAGACCTTATGCTTGGTTCCGTTTGACACCTAAAAACCTGAACCCCGGGAGCTCAACCTCCGGCCGGCTGAACCTGAACCTGAACCCCCAAAGTTTGTCTGTCTGTGTACTTAACGGTTTTCACACACAATCGCTAGGTTCCAGCACCAGCACACATTATGTAATGGATTTCGGGGCTAACCTTTGGATTACACTGCAATGCCCGTCCGGAGCAATGAACCTGCATTGTGTTTATGTAACCCAAAACCAATGTCTTTCTGTGTGGCAATTTTTGATGTAATGCTAATGCTTATATAGTGTAAGATCATAAAATGTGACCACCTGTTTTTATCTTTCTCTGCATTTGGAGAATGTTCTGCTTAACTGTAACTTCCTGACACTTATGGGTCACAAATCAAAACGATATCGATGCGATTGAAAGGGTTCTCGATCTAGAACTGTAAGCCCAATTCCCAAGCGGACATTATCATGCAAATCGTCAGATCTTCTTTGAGTGAAGGTGAATGGTGCGTAAAACGTGGTGGAAAGAGAGAGCATGGTGTGCGTATATACCCAAGGAGGAGAAATGGGTCACGACAATCCAATCACGAAAATGCGGCTCGGAGCGTTGTTGTATGTAAAAGGTAGCCGGCAAAAATGTTTTGCCATCACGAAACGAGAAAGCCGAAAAACTCATTTATATTTCTCTCTCTCTCTTTGATTTTTGGGGTAACTGAAAAGTGTTTAAATTATTTTGTACATCTGTGAAATTAACCAATTAGTTAATTACAAAATAACGCAATGCACTCCTTACTCATCGATGGAGTAAGTGCAGCGAACAATGGTTTGTGGTAGTAACTGCCAATGAACTCAATTTCTCTCATTAGCGGTTGATGGATTTTTGGATTAAATTTGTTGGGTTTTAATTACTAAATCCTGGCGAGTGAAATGTAAGCTTTGTATTTCGAAAATTGTGTAATAATTAATAGAGTAAACCTCTTAAATTTGTTGACCTTTCTTTCTTTAGATAAAAATAGATCAAAAACCCTGTAAAAAAAGCTTAATTTCTTATTTACAAAACCTTAAAACCACAGCTCTCTTTAGTAACACTCTTATTTTCTGGAAAAACTATTTCACAAATTTTGTTAAAGCTTAATTAAAGTGACTTAATGAACAAATAGCAAAAGCCTAATTAAACTGTCACATAATTTAGCTTAATTTGATATGAAAAATATTAGAAATTAATCAAGATTACCAGACCCTAACGAATCAATGGAAGAGTTGGTGAGTTTTTTTTTTTTTAATATTTGCCTCATTGGCCCACTGAAGCTGTGACGTCAGTTGGTGCGTCTTGTCACGTTCACACGCCGTTTTCATGCTCTGGGCCATTGCACGACAATTCGTAATAAAGGCAACCGATACAGGAAGGCCCTGAGAGAGAGATAAGGTTGAGATAAAACCCCAGGGAGACGACGCTGTTGACTTTGCACTTTTTTTTTCAGGTGAGGCGACGGCTGCTGCCGTTTTAGGGGAAATTGTGAAGAAAGTGTTGAAAACGAAATTGTAACTGGGAGCGCGTGTGTCTCCGCTGTTTTTACGCTGCCTCTGCCGCCCCGTGAGAGTAGACCAGCCAGCAACTTGGCAGCAGAGCAAACACCGCCGAAGAAGCGCCGCCGCCGACTTGGCCAAGACTGGTCTTGGTCTTGGACTTGGCCGAGACGAGGCGAGACAGCGAGGCGATCTTACCTGGTGGCCGAGGCCATTTCAGAGTGGCAGTCAACGGGCACATCTCAAGCGTTGCAGTCGCTTTCCATGCGGACTCCAATTTAAAGCCAAAAAACGTTTTAGCCTCGTCTTCTCGTCCCGTGTATATATTTATTTTTTGGCCAACATCTGCGTGTTCGCCAATAGATTGGCGTGAAAGTGGTTCAGATCAATCCCAAAATAACTCAGGATACGGCTTCAGTGATTGCAATTGTCGAGCACAGTAATCGAGGAGTTGCACAGCCTTCATTATGGTGAGTTTGATCGTTAAGTAGTATGGTATCGATTGCCGGTCAAGTTCAAGTAAAAACACACCCAGAAAAATAATTGCTGAAGTTGGGAGTGCCTTTAGTGCTTTATAATAGCTTTAAATCTTAAGAATATTTTCACTAGGAAAAGATTAGATTAATCTAGGTCTTAAAACTGAATGTATTTCATAAGGAAAAGGATAATTAAGCTTAGGTTTTCCCCACAAATACATAAAATTTGAATGAAATGTTCTATTAAAAATAATATTTAAATAAAAGCAACAAAATGCATAATATTATTCTTATGTTATTCTTGATTTTCCCTATAAAACATTATCTCTTTCTGTGCATTATTCATTGACATACTAGGCACGCTTCGGCCTGTCCTCAATCGCTTTTCCCCCAATCTGCTCTGAAAAGGAGCCATTGCCATACAAAAGATCTACAAAATACGTTGGCCAAAAAGCTAGTGTGACAAATGCCAACAATTCTTGGCACAAAAAGTCACTTGTTGTCTGTTTGTTTGTTTGGTGTTTAGTTTAAAGCCGCCAAACTTTCTTTTGAGGCGTGTTTTCATTCAGGCCAGTTTGTTTTTTCTTTTCAATTGTTGGCTTAAATCTGCGGGCTATTATTAACCTGGCTGGCAGTAGCTACACTTATTCACATTCCATGTCATGAACTGCGACATTATATTGACATTAGATAATGTTGGAAATAGTTAAACCACGTGCCAAACTAATTGCATCATCGTTGTGTATGTTTTACTAACCACATTTACCAGTTTATGAATTTTTATGACGACCTCCGGGCCATAAACAAAGAAAGTCGTGCTTGAGATGCATAATTTATGCGAGATAAACCTTGGCAACATTGGTGATAAAAACATAAAGCAACGCCTGTGATATACACCCACATGGAAAGAAAGTCTGTTTGTCGATTTTATTGCTACTCTAATTAATATTTACCTAAAACAATAAATAGTTTATTAGCTAGCAGCCATTATAATAATAATGTGTAATAATGTTTATGGTATTTAGGTTTAATTTTGTTAATTTTTGTTTCCATTACCAATGTTAAATAATCCGCGATGTCCAGACAGAAACGATTCCAAAATTATCGCTTCAAATTAGACAACAAATTTGTTAAATGAATAATTATTGCGAATTTTTTAGGGAGTGACTATCCAGATTCCTGGAATCTACCGCATCCATAATTGGCTTCAAAATTTATTTAATTTCTTTGCGAGTCAAGTTCGAGGCGAAATCTGTGGCCCAGCGCAAGTGCAAATATTTTCGGTTAATATTTACATAAAACCGAGATAAAGTCGAATGAAATTTCACCCATAATGCTCGAGAAGTGGGCTGGAAAGTGAGTTTGTCTCTGAGTCACATGTGATAACCCATGAAAACGATGATGAAACAGCCAGAAGATGTTAATTAAAAGGGCGGCCTGAGATGAGCTCTGAGGCCAGTGAAACTAAGCTGAAAAACCGAGTTCGGTCTGTCAATCTTGAAGCTGGAAAATTATGCAAATCAATTAATACATATAAATCGGTATTTAACAATGCATTTCTTCGGTTTGCGGTTGCATCACCGGGGGAAAGACTTTCTTCTTTGTTTTTCCAACAAAATGGAATTCAAATCAATTTTCTTTGGCCGTTTTAATTTGAATCAAGGCCATGCCAAAATAGATTTCCATTTACAGTTGCAACCCAAAACGAATTGGGCACAAAAGCTTGTGGCTTTTGGCCTAGTATACAAAATATAAAACAGCGAATCATTCATCACAAACAAAGAGGCCTCACAATAGGGCCTCTGAATCACATTTTATCAAATAATGCAAAGCGAAGGCAAATTATGTCAAGAATTCTTGGCATCTGTCGTGTGTTTTGTCTGCCCTGCGAATTAATTAAAACATCTCCAGCGATTTGACGTATATTCTAAAGTAGAAACGAAGCCAACCGTTAGCTCCACATAATTTGTTTACCCCTTTGTTGTGCTTAATTTCTGTGTGGATTCGTTCCATTCCCAGGGGCTATGGGGAAGAAGCCTAACTCCATAATTGGACAATAAACAATTATATATATATTTATGGTTTTCGGGGAGTTCTTCTTGTGCTGGTAAATTGGAAATGGAAAGCCATGACTTTCGGTTTTTCTGAGCATTCTTAGTTGAGATATCTTAACCGCAGATAAGGGCTTGGTGGGTCATATTTAAATTTCACTTTATGGAAGTGAAGGTAGCTTAGTCTACGTTGTAAGTAGTAATTTTTATGATCGTTTGTGAGTGTAATAAATTTAAGGGGAATGTCAGAGACAAGATGAGTATATTAAATTTAATGATTGTGCTAAATACAAGCTAAGATTTATGTTTATGTTTTTAGTTTTATTTAAGGTAAAGTTAATTTCTAGGGAAGGGATTTTAGTTTTAATTTTGTTAAATGAGTAAGTTAGTAAACAAAAACAGTCTTAGCAACATTATCTTGTTTTTCAACTAATAAAATTTATATTTTCTTTATTTTTTATAATTTTACAAATCAAATTAGTCTTAAATCTTGGTGAACCTTAACTTAATTTCCATTATACAGGAAGAATCAACATTATATATTGTGGGATTAATTTTCTCATAATTTGTAACCTGCTTAAAATTTCACTTTGTTTCCATCCGGCTACCGCTTTAAATATAAATCACAGTTTTATACAATACCCTAGCTTTTTGCAACGTTTTTGAATTTACATATAAATCGCTATCTGCGGCGGACTTAAAAACAAACTATGTTTTTGGATTACGCAAGTTTTGAGTTAAGTAAAAAAAAAATGGGAAATGCTTTCGCACCCGGCCGTCTTGGCCATAAAATGTTTTATGTCTCCAACCGATGCCGTTGAAGTGGCTCAAAGTGGATTCTAAAATGCGTTTCATGGCGAGCCGGCAACAGGATCGTTTCCTAAGTCTTTTGTTTGCGCAATTTCCGCACCTCGAACTGGAGGAGATGATGAAACGTTTGAACAATAAGAGAGACGACAGGGCACTTAGACACACACTGATATAATTTCTCTGTCTCTGGTTCCACTTTCAGTTTCTCACAAAGAGTTCAAGTGCGCGGCACTCGCTGCTGCTGCTTCTGCTGGCCCTCTGCTGCCTGTCCAGTGCCTTTGGTGCCAAGATAACCAAGAAGGTGGTGAAGGTGCCCACGGAGAATGGGGAAAAATCAGAGGCGGAGTCGGATGCAGCTGCTGTTGCTGATGCAGCCCCAGCTGAGGAGGCAAACGATGAAGATGACGAGGAGGATGACGACGACGACGATGACGAGGAGGAGGAGGCGGCGGCGGCTTCTGCAGACAAAGAGGCAGAAGCAACGACTGCGACTTCAGGCAACCACAAGAACCCCAATGCAGTCCAGGCCTCTACGGATCCCACAGATCTCAGTGTCTGGGGTATGGTGCGTACTCTTTGGGGCTGGCTGCGCAGCGATCTGAGTGAAAGCCTATTCGGCGACGATGACGACAGCGACGACGGAAAGCCAGCGTCCGGCAGCTCAGCTGTGGGTGAGTCCCCCTCTCTCTCTAAAAAAAACAAAAGAGAACAACAAATATTGAACAAAAGTTAAAAACTAAACAAAACCTTAAACTTGAATACTGAAAGAAAAAACATAAATCAAGTAGCAAATCTTGCTTTTAAACTAATTTAAATTAGGAAATTAACTTCAGTTTTTTTAAAAGAGTTTAAATAGTATTTAAATAATATAATAATTACCAAATTAACCCCAAATTCATCTCCCAAAAACACAATATTCTACGAATCTCCTTCATTCTGATTACAAAATATCCCCCCACAAAACATGACACAACATAATATTATTTAATACAAAAATCTCCCTCCTCACTTTAACACCTTTTCTGATTTCTGTTGTCACCGAGTTAAGATCTCTATTTTTCGTTGAGTGTGTATGCACTGCAATTAGTGCCTCTGTTTGAAATCTGGCTCACTGTGTGTCTCATTTAAGCTGATTGCATCTGCAGGGCCTCAATGTGATTAGCGGTTTTTCTAATCAAAGCCGATTTCCCAGGGCGCCCTACCTCTCTGCTTGGCTCACTTTCGTTTTCAATGAAACCTGAAGCCGAAGCCGCTAAATAAACAACAAGAAAAAAAGCAGCTAAAAGGTGTTAACACCAGGGCAGGCGATGGGTAAAAACTTGTGATATATGTATATGTCCGTCGACGGATTGTAATTTCACTTTCCGCATCTTTTTCTGGAGCCACACTCAAATTATATATTAAATAAGACAACAAAACGCGGCTCACTCATCTCCATCTAAACGATGAGAAAATATTTTTGCTTTATTTTTTTATGTGGCTCTGTTTTTTTTTTCGTTATTTGCGAATTGTTTTTTATTGGACTTTCGCATAGCTGAGCGTTCAGCTCTGTTTATTGATGAAATTATAGTAGTTAAGGCAGATAAACCCAGTGGAATTTCATTTGGGAAGTGACTTCTCTTGGATCTCAAGAATTAATGGGCGGTTTTTATTTTTATTGATTTTAGCTAAATGGTTTCTTTGGGAAAGCTATGGGAGTTAAATTTTACCACAGGTGACCTAAATAACTCTAAGACCTTGAATATTTAAAGAAATTGTTTGATTTAATGTGTTGATTTAAGTTTTACAAGGTTTTTTATAAAATTTACTTAACATTTTAGTACTAAATTTATTTTGGCTTAAACTCAGGTTTTTTAAAGAGATTTTCTAGTTAAATATATCCTTTATTTATGCAAATTTAAACTTATTTTAACCATATTTTCTACTTACAGAAGGTCGTACCTTTGGCAAGATTCGTCGCCTGCAGATGGCTCTGATTCCCATCATCTTTAAGTTTGGAGTGCTCTCTGCCATGGTTGCCTTTTTGGTGGCCATTGGCATGAAGTCGCTGTTCCTGCTCAAGGTCCTGGTGGTGATGAATGCCATCGCCATTCTGGGCAAGTTCATCACCCTGAAGTCTAGTCTCTTTGGGCAGTACGAGCACACGGCGCCGTCGTTCAACTATCCCGGCTGGAACCCGCATGCCAAGGAGTCGTGGGGCAGCACTGGAGTTGCCAGCGGACCCGGTGGCCATCCGCCCAGCAAGGAGATTCACCTGCACATCCATGGCAATGCCCAGACCCAGGCTCAGCTGGCCGGTCAGGGCTACCAGTACGAGTCGCAGACCGGCGGTTGGGCCAGTCGTTCGGATCCCTACGGAGCCTACGCTCCCACGGGCCAGTTCTCGACGGATGTTCAGCAGCCGGAGGCTGGAGTGGTCCGAGAGGGTGTGCCCAACACCACGGATCCCATGTCCCTGCTGCCAACGAAATACCGAGCGAGGACCTTCATCCGATGAGGATTAAGTTAGGAGAGAGCTGTTCCAAATGGGTTCCGCATGGAAGTCAACGACCACCGCTAGCACACACACACACCTTTAGTCAGCGACTTTTCGAGGACGCAGCTTTACGTACACCTAAAACTCTAGAGTTACGAGCTTAGTTTTTAATTAAATTATTTGCCCCAAAGTAGCCTTAAATGATTGATAATTTGTAATAAATAGTATAATAATATAAACCCCGCCGCTGTTTGTGTGTGTGTGTTTGCCACCGTTTGTTTGAGGTAGCCGAAACAATTACGGCTAAAGATCCAGAAGATCGTGATTGATGGCTGCTCGAGGCCAGGGAGAAGAAAGTTTTGTGCACTGAGAGAAAATGTGTTCTTTTAGGGTTATTTAAAGTTAGCAGCTGAAGTAATTAAAGGGGGATTAATTCTTTGAAATGGCTCATAGACCCTAAATTATTTTTAAGGCTAAGAAAGAATAATGAGCTGCACATTTAGGTTTTTTTTTATTTAAATAGAAGAAGATCTTTTGTTAACTAAAATATTATGTATTTATTAAAATATAGGCAATAAAAAAAAATATTAGAAAATTGGTCTCTATAATAATATTTTAAATATTTGTTTTTTTAGTTATCATATTTAAGCCCACACATTTTTCCTCTCTGTTTATGTTCGGTTGGCGATTATTGAGGCTGAGCTTTTCGGAGGTCTGTGATTAATTGGCATTTGACGTGTCTGCCCGGAGATTTCTTTGGCCACATCTCGGGGCGTGTGCTGCGACTTTGCCTTTCTGCCAGTCTTCCATCTAATCATCGGATTTATCGCAAACATTGAAATGGAAGTCCAAGTCATGACTTGACATTGCAAATTTCATCGCCGTTGTTGGTAATTTTTTCAGTAGCTCAGCGGCTCAAAGGAGAAACATTTACAATTTTGTTCCATCTATAAAAAAAAAGAGTAGATAAGCCGATTCGTTTATTAGCCACTACATGGGCTTGGCTTCATCATATTTCTACCTCGTTGAAGGCTCAAATATTTGACCAGAGTAAAAGATATTTGCCGATTAATATGGCCACCAAAGGTTTGGAGTTGAGTAATTGCTAACATTTCTTCTTCGCCGTTTAGTTGATTGAGAGATTTGTTTAAGCTAAGTGGATTGTGTTGATTGATGGATTATGGAACCTGAGACTCCAGGTGGTGTTGCCTTATGTAGTAAACATGTTTCCATATTAACAGTGTCTCTGTTTGACTTAAATTTCTTGAGGTTGTTATAGATAAATGTTTAAATAGGTAAAACCATGGGAGGAGATTAATAAAAATGTTACCTTCTTGTGATTAATATTAGTTTATTAAGGTGCTCTGAGATTTCGCTTACAGCCATCCTTGAATGGCTCAATAATTTTCCATGCCTACAACCTTGACGAAAATAGACTCCCTTAAGTCTGGTATCCCTTCCTAGCACTCGGTCTGTGTGAGTCATTTCATAATTTGGTATTAATTTATGCCTCTCTCAACTGGCTGATGATACACTAAATCCAAAATTTAATTGGCCCACGCAGCATATGCGCACGCCCACAAATATATGTCCTAAGATACGCTACCTCGTTGATGCACACATCCTGTCCTAACGCAAAGTGACAACTAGTTTATGGGGGAAATGAATCCCAGGCGTAGGCCCAATATCCAGGAAGTATAAAAGACAGCTTCCTGGGCCCAAATAGCATCAGTTACCGGCATCAGTTCAAGCCACAGTTCAACCAGGACATCAAGGAAGCCCATTAATACTATAAACATGTGCAGAATACTCTCCATTATCTCCATGCTCGCCGTGCTGTTCCTGGCCCAGGCCTCGGCTCAGTACTCCTACACCCCACATGCCCTGTGCAGCGATAGACTCAACGATATGTTGATGATGGTGTGCGAGGAATTTAATGGAAACACTCCACAAAAGCGAGGATTGAGTAAGGCTCATTTATTTGCCCAGCTTTAAGCAGAGTATTAAACTCTCCACCTTATAGTTGCCGGCGACCTGGATCTCCTCGATCCTGTCCAGTACGTGGAAGCCACGGAGTCGCGTCCAATCTTCAGGGGACGCTTCCATGGCGGAGATGGTGCCCTCAACTCCCTGGCTCCCATTCGGCGGCTGACGCGGCAGGGAATAGTGGACAGGTGCTGCAAGAGGAGCTGCTCTATGGAAGTCCTTATGGAGTACTGCTCCGTTCCCCGTATCTAAACTGCATGACTCTGGATCTACTCCCCTTTGACCTTTGACTGTCATTACCTGTGCGTCCTGGGACTTGGTTTGAAACCATTTTCAGGGATAAATTATAACCTTTAAATGATATTGTTATTCGTAAGTTATTGTTTATGGATAATGTAAATATTATGAATATAACCTGCTTTTGGCAATATAAAAATCTACACTAAAAGTTTTATTTAATAATGGGATATATCCTTATTGCAAGACTATAAATACAGACTCCCTTATGTCTGGCTACCCTTCCCAGGACTCAGTCCGAGTGAGTCACTCCCAAGTTGGTATTAATTAATGCCTCCTTAAGCTGAACCTGGCTGATTATACACTAAATTCAGTAAAATTTAATTGGCCGCCACAGCATATGCGCAGGTTCCACCTACGATTCGCCACACACATAATTTGCATAAGTTGCTGGCTTTGACGTCGAGCTAGAGAAACCTTAAGGATAGGTAACTCCTTAATGCACACATCCTGCTATAACGCGAAGTGACAACCAGTCTAGGGTGGGTGGAATGTATCCCAGACCTAGACCCAGTTTCCGGAGAGTATAAAAGCCAGCTTCGTGGGGCCAAACTGCATCAGTTACCAGCAGTCCAAGCACATACAAAAACCATGTGCAGGATTCTCTCCATTATCTCGATGCTCGCCGTGCTGTGCCTGGGTTGTGCCTCGGCGCAGTATTCGTATGAGAAGATAAGGCTGTGCAGCGACAGACTCAACGATATACTGATGGCGGTGTGCGAGGAATTCAATGGAAATACTCCACAAAAGCGAGGATTGAGTAAGACTTCTCGAAGACTGCCCAATCTATACCAGAAATTCCATGAATCCATTCCATATTACAGTTGGCAGCGACCAGGATCCCCTCGATCCCATCCAGTACGTGGAGAATACGGAATCGCATCCGCTCTTTAGGGGACGCTTTCATGGCGGAGATGGTGCCCTCAACTCCCTGGCACCCATTCGGCGGCTGACGCGGCAGGGAATTGTGGACAGATGCTGCAAGAATTCCTGTCATTATTCCGTAGTCGGGGAGTACTGCTCCGTTGCCCGCATCTAATTCTCTGGCTCTCTGGCTCTCGTTCCCTTTGACCTTTTGGCTGTCATTTCCTGAGCGTCCCTGAACTTGAAAGGAAAGCAACCATTTCCAAGGATATATACTACCGTTTAGAAGATATTGTTAGCCTTTCGTTGTTATCGCTTATGAAATGTGTGAATATAATTAAAAATAATCAGCTTTGGGCATTAGCAAAACCCTTACAAATATTTAAATAGTTTATTTTATTTATTAACCACTTAACCTTGCCAGATTACTTAGATTTTCCTTTGATTTGTTCATGTCTTTGCTAAACATAAAATGCCCAAAAGAGTGTCGTAAAGTAGAGGGGGCTCCAAAAAGTAGGCAATGCTTTTTTACATTCTCCCAGCCAAGTTCGTGGCCTGAGTCTTTCGTTTTGTTGGCAGGCAATAACTGATAGCACGATTAACAGGTGTAACATAAAATATTAATATCTGCAAGGACCTGTTAATTAGCCCCCATAGAAAGTGAAGACACAAGCTCTTAACTGGCAATTAAGCAACGCTAATGACAAATGCAACATTAATGACAAATGCAACATTTTAAAGCTGAACAAGATCGGCGTGGTGCTTGATACATATTTATCTGAGGCAATTAAAGCCGCTTAGACAGGAGGGCGAGCATGCAATGACACTTGGAGAAATGTTTTAAGCTTAAAATAAAAAAAATACAAAAAATATATGAGAAGCTAACAAGAGCCTGGTTTCCCTTGCAAAAGTCTAAATGAGGTTAAAATGATGTTTCTAGCTTTGATGTTTTCCCAGACTTCATTTTCTTATTTTTCCAAGTGTATCTAGCTGCTTGACCAAAGCTGGCTCGACTGGGATTATGGAATCTTGCTCGCTAGCTAATTTATAGGAGGACACTGGTCGTGGATCTGGTCCTGGACTTGGTTGTGGGCCTGATCTGGCTATGCCAGCCATTAGCCATTAGACACTAGCCATTAGCCAGCCGTCATAAGTGTGGGCAGGTGACGTTTCGCCTTTGAGTGACGACTAGTGAGCCAAGTTGAGACCACAGCCATGTGATGTCTTCTTTGTCGGCGACCGTAGACGGCGGCATTCGAGAGCGCCTCAATTAATTAGTGGCCGTGCCAAAAACAAAATGGCGCCGCATATAGCCAATAGTTGATAAGGCCAAAGTCAAAGCTAAAAGCGAAATATAATAGATGGACGAGTTGGAGGTAGAAATAAATGAAATTACGCGATGCACGGTGAATTTCTCTGGTCTGCTGCTGCTTTCTAACAACGCACAGCAAGCGGGCTTGCCGGCTCTTCGACTGTGATTATTGAAATACTCCAAAGGTTTTTTCGCTGACCATTGCATTTGGCCAGTTCCAGTAGCGGCGACAAATCATGAGCATCGACAGATGCACCAGCATCTTTTGTCCCCGCTATATACGAGTCCAAGTCCAACTAAAATGTGGATAATTGCGTCTAACTGACGGGACAAGAGGCACTGGGCTCGCTGCCAGCTGGGGGACAGTTCACGGAAAGAAAATATTATTTTAAATATTTACTATTAGAAAAAAAAAATTCCCTATGTACTTCCTACCCAAATATCAACGATTTAGGTATAGAAAAAGTCTGAAAACTATAATACAAACCTTTAAAAGCTTCATTTAACCAAGTACTTCTCTCCCAGTGTACTCCCCTGCAGTCATAGTTGGGGGCTTTATGCTGGAGACGTGCTGTCAGCGGATCTGGCTGCTCTCACTCTCTTTCTAACATGATAATTGGACATGGCCTGGGAACGGGTATCACCAGTAGGATGGCACAAATGTCAGCTACCTTACCTTAACTTACTAACTCGCCGGTTACCGGCTACCTTGGCGACATCTTTGGCGGCCCTATGTCTCCTTAATTGCATGTCGCCTGTCGCCAGTCGCCTGTCTACCCGTCGTGCTGAAAGTGAAATTGATATATGATATATAATATATATATATATACAATAAATAAGCGAACGTTCATCACGAATTCTTCGCTAATTCGCCGCTCACAACGGATAATTTCGTAATGTCTGCAGCTAATCAAAATTCGACCAGTGCGTCGAGTGCGTTGACCAAATTGGTTTTCGGTCACACCTTCATTTCATTACAAACTCCAATCTGACAATATCAATATGAGTGTGTGCAAACTTTCTTTTTAGCGGAACATACAAGTACGTGAACATATACCAATATTTAATGAGCCGCCCTCTGATAGCACTAGTTATAAGACTTTGTATTACGTATGAAGAAAAATAATTAAGAATTATGTGGATATATTTTTTCAGGTAAACTTCTTGAGACGTGGGATTTAATTTATTTTATATTAATTTTATTCCCTGTTTAGTTGTATTTTTAAAAGCATTTTTTTGCCATAAATTGTATTCTTGGCATGATAAATTCGTTTTCAAAAGCTTTAAATTGCTTTTAAAATAATACATAAATTTTCCCTTGTAGACTAGTGTATGGAATCGTGTTAAGCATTTATTTATATAGTTTTTTTTATAGTAGGCCCAGCCCTTAGCCATAAATAGCAGCCACTCGCGAAATGTCAAACTCAATCTGCGGCTGCACCATCAGCAAACAACTAGAAAACTTTCATTTTCATCACTTGAACAAGTGGGTCTTCAGCCAGAATTTATCAATGATGCAACTGTATTTCCACCTGCCCAAAATGTTAATTTGATTAACAAATATTTTATGCAATAGTTCGAGGGAGGTGCTAATGAAGTTGTGAAAGATGAAAGGGAAAGGTAAGAGCGAACTGAAGATAAATTCAAGAGATTTTCCTATGCCAAGTCATGTGGGTGGAAATCAACTCTTCACTAATGTTGGTAGTACATTTTTCCGTGGAACATCCACCTCTTTGACCCAATACACAGGATTTGCATCTGGCCATAGTGGCATTTTGCTGCAGGATTAGCATCTCACGAACGACTTTCCACTGATTTTCAGGAGTTCATGTGGCGAATGTGAACACAGGAGTTCAACTTGTGGGCTGTGCTTCATGGCATACATTTGGGGAATCGATGAAGATTATTCAGTTATCTTATATATTGAAAACAAAGCAGGGTATTATAATTTTAGTCACAAGCTTGCAATACTTTAAGGAGTCATTTGATGCTTTTTCGGCGAGTTATAATATTTTTATATTAGGTTTTTCTAAGGAATACTATCCATGTTTTTGTCTATTCTCAGTTTTTTTAATATTTATTATTCCTATAAACATAGCAGTTTTGTTTACTAAAGTAGTATTACTTATGTCAGTGGTCTTTCAGATCATTATCGAGAGTTTAATTAAGCAAAAAAATAACCCGTTTTTATAATAGAAATACTTTTACTGTTCTTGATGACGGATAAGCTGTGTATAATCAGGAATCTGGGGAATACCATTAATTTCTTCTGTTGATAAAATGTAAGCTGATCATACGGTCATCTTCTTAGTGAAGATTAGCTCACCATTTAATAGGATTTAAGTAGGCTAACCGGCGGATTTAAATCATAATAAAACAAAATAATAAAAATGCAAAACAAAGAAAGGCCGAATAAAATATATTTTCTTTGTGTGATGGCAACCTTTTGTCTGTCACAAAATACCTGTAAATTCGCATTGGCCAAGAGGTCATGTCATCCCTCCCTCGAATGTTAAAGTCAAAGTTCAATGGTTTACATATAAACCGAATGCTTGAGGGAATTCTTGTGTGACACTCGCAATGCGCATAGCGGACAGCTTAATTGATCCGTTTGTTCAGTGCATGCCACCACACACATTTGCTAAAATCCAAGCCCAGACCCAAAGTCAACATTAGTCGGGCTCTGCTCACCGGTGGCCGCTCTTTTGGCCAACTTTCCAAAGAGCCAACTTTCACAAAGCGCTCTCTTAAGTCGCCGTCGAGCGGTTGGTATAAAGCTTCTTACGTATGCGCGTCATGGCTTAATCTTACCTTGAACTTGGTCGTGAGCAGATCGTGGAGCAGCTGAGTGTGTGGATCCCCCCTAGAGAGCCAGTGGTGGTGCATCGGGGCTCGATCGATTCGGGTTCTTCTGTCGAATTCAAATTCAAATTCAAATTCAAAACTCAAACTGAACAGAAAGAAAAAATGGAACAAAGCGCCGTTGTTCTTGTGCGTGCCGATAAGTGTACATAAATCAGTGTTTTGGTTGAGCTCAAGACTCTAGACTTCTAGTTTCGTCTAACGGTGCCAGTGTTAACCAAAAATTATATATATTATAAGCTATATATATACATATATATAAGAAAGCCAAGGAATCCAAGCATCATGGACTTGGACTGGTGGCAGCCTTCCATCATTGTGGGCCTGATCTGTCTGCTCCTGCCATCGCAGATATCTCCGGCGAGTGCCTGGAGTCTGCCAGTCCGCGATTCAGCAGTCTCCGCACCTGTTGGCCGGCGATTAAATGGTAAGAGTCTTGACCACAGCACAGTGTTGACCATAAGCGTATTTTTGTTGATTTTTTTTTGGCAAGATATATGGCTTTTTTCGGGGTATTGCGGCTGGTATTTTTAGGCCATTCTTTAGGATTTTATTTATATTGTTTTTTACTTTATTAGTGTAAAAATTTCCTAGGAACTAGTGCCTGTTGTTTTGATCTCTTCTCCATATTTTTTCAACCATCTCTCTGGATTTGTTCATTAACTAACTCCCAAATAAAATGAATCTTTGTCTTTGAGCTCCGCCTTCCAAAAATCTCTTTTGGCCTCTGTATTTATATTTAAGTTTATTTTTATTATTTTTTTTCTGGGTAATGTAACGAGCTTGGCTCAGACAAAGAAAAGGTCCAAGAAAAAAACAGTCAGCAGCAGAAAAACATAAACAAAAGCTCTGAGTAAAATACTTTTATTGCAGTGAAATTTCAGTTCATTAAGCTAAATGTGAGAGTGGCAATTTCTGTGTTCGGCAATTATATAATCGGCCGGCAGCCGCCAAACGAAAGTCGCCACAACTGTCACTGTCACTGATTATGGCCACTGCCACTGCCACTGGCATCGCAAAGAATCGGCCAAGATTTATGAGCCACTCGAGTGGCCCACAGATCCGTCAGAGCTGTCACAGCTGCCACGGCCTGTCAGGCATTCGTCTTTTGCAAGGCGACAAAAGTAATGAGAATATATATATCTAGCTGCCATCTAAAGTTTAACGATGAGTTTTACTTCCAAAATAATGACAGCTTTACTTTTAAATACAAAAATTACATAGGCTTGGCTAAGAAAGTATTGATTTTCTACCTAATTTGGTAATAATCTGTTTATTTCATATGGAAATAGTTACAAACTATTTTTCTATAAATATTTGATTAATTATTAACCACTTTTAATGCTTAAATTAATCTTATTTCTTACTGAAGCCATACAAGAATTGTTTAGCCATGATGCCGATTTAATTAGTTTGTACAAACATTCATTAGTTGGTTAGCGTGCAGCACCTCTCCTTCTACCAAAATAAGCCAAGCTGATCGAGAATTAATCATTACATATAGTACAATGCAGCAATAAATGTTAATTAGTTTTACAAATGGTTAATACAAAATATAATGCCTTTTAATTTATACTTTATTCTACAAATATTTTCATAGAGCAAAAATATTTTAAATGGAAAAGTTAATGTTAATCCTAAACCCTAAAAGAGTTTGTAAGACATAACAAAATATATAAAAGGTTGTTAAATTTTTCTTTCGGTGCATTGATTAAACGACTTCCATCGGCAATGCAGCATAACGAAGTGAGCTTAATCTCATTTTGGTTCTGTTACGTTATGGAGCGTACGACACTTTTTTCTTGGCCGTTGCTGTGGTTTTCCTTTCCTTCTATTTTTTTTTTGGCTTAAATCTGGAGCCACATGGCGAACAATTAGCAAACGCCAAGACAAGGCAATACCAGGCAAGAAGACAACAAGTGCAGAAGGCATTACCATTGCCATTACCATTGCAAGAAGGCAAGAAAGAAATACACCTCGTTATCGTTTAGGGCACTTGGCGTCTCGATCTGCTTCTGAGCATGTAATATGGGTCATAACCAACTAAACCAGAAACAGAGACCCCAACTAAGCCAAGAAGTTGCGTATAAAACGATATACTATATACTTAATAATGTTTACCGTGTGGAGACCCCCCGAAGAATGTCGAGTCATTAAAGAACGGGAAGGGCAGCGAAACATGAATTAACGTTTTGTTTGCTGATAAAACGACTATCAAATACACTCAAAAACACTTGAATATATGTTAATTTTATGAAGCAAGTCATGTGAGGGGGGTTAAGTGGAGCATCGATGGGGTTAAACAGTAATAAGAGCTAGGGTTAACATCTGCCAACTTAAACTGAGATATGAACATTGTGGTTCTGTTTTTGCAAGATCACTTGGATGTCAGGAATAATTTAAAGTAGAAGTAAAAGTACTTAAAGAATAAAAAATTTAAGCATTAAATTGAAGTAGATTTTATAAGCTGGGTTTATCATTTTACGTAATTAGTTTTCCTAAGAAAAATAAAGTCCAATATTCGCTTATTTACATAATATTTAAAAGATCACTTTACCATCAATGGTTATAAATATTTTCAGAATTTTAGTGCCAACACACACATTCGATTTTCATCATTTGAACTTGACGTAACCCCTGTTAACTTTTTAATTAATAGCATTAAACAAACCCCTCGACATATTCAATAAACTCTCTCCCTGAAGAGCAACACCTGTTTGGAGAAAAGAAACAATAACAGCGACAAGACAAACACCCAAGAATGGGTAAACACCCGTCCGGACAAGTTGATGTCTTGGTTGTGATACTGTCGGATTCACTTGGTGACTACACCAACTTTAGTTAAGCCAAAAAGGGAGACTCGAGGGGGATAAGGGGCGAATGTAAATATACAAATATATGTAGCCCGTACGGGGAGTTGCTACAAATTGCGCCGACACCAAAACAGCGAGAAGAAAAACTTGAAAAACGCTCGTAATTGGGTTATAACCGTCATATTTGTATGTGAGAGTGTCCGAGGCGAGTCGCTACTTACTATTTAAATATTTGGAGCTCGCCCGGCCTGTCCCGGCTCTCTGCCCCAAAACTGGACAACTGGCTCTGAGTCTCTGAGGCAAACAATGCCATTGGCAAATCCCAGCTTCGATGTCCCACGTCCACGTTCCAAAACGGAGCAGCATTGGTGACATTTTTGGACAAAGCGCAAAAATGAAAAGTGTTGCCACTGCCACTGCTGCTGCTTCACTGGAATGAAATCTAATTTCATTTTTTAATTGCCGCTCCGACATCTCACCCAGTTTGGTCAACATCCATGAAAAGATGCCCAAACTGGAGCCGCATGAAGCTGTAAGCGTGTCTCCTCCATCTGTCAACGTCGTGTTCGATTTCTGCGTAGGCATTGAAAATCTCAGATTACAATTTCAGTTGCCAGTGGCCAGTGGCCACACAGCAAGAAATTCCAAATATTTTCATGATTGCTGACCAGCGGATGCTTGTCGGCGAGCAGAAAAGCTAAAACAATAACAAACCTGATCTTGAAAAATGAACAACTGTACACTCCTAGTAAAAGTGATGGAAACTGGATCAGGTTCTTTGAAAATTAATAGTAAAAAAAGCTTAGACATTGCCTTAATATATATATATATTTTAGTAGAGTTTAAAACGTAAGCTAAAAGAGAAAAAGATCTACTTAGAACACTTTTTTAAATTATGTTAATTATGAAGAATATATTGAGCTTTGATTGTCTGAAGAATAATTTGAAATCAACACCTCCTTAAGAGATAATTTTCTAAATATCTCACTAGAAATAATTTTGAGAATTAGAACCATTACGAATATATTCTGTAAAGCTGTAAAGATACAGTAAACTTTTGTATTTTGTATCGTTAATAAAAAATATAAATAAATAGCACAAATATTTCTATATATTTTCCCCTAAATTCCAGTATCCATAGATTTTCCCCACGTGCAGCCAACTAGTTATTTGCGTAGCCAAAAGCCGCGAGAGCTCTAATCAATAAACAACATGTGCGGGGTTGTTGCTCAAGTTGTAGCTGCCGGCCAAGTCTTGTTTTTGGATCTTGAGTTTACATTTAACTCTGGGCTTTTGCGGTTGACTTCGACTACGACTTCGACTTCGACTACGGCGGTGTCTTCAATTCAAATTCTGCGCCAGATCGAAAACCAGTGAAAGTTTTATTAAATTTCAAGCTCAGCGGCACTGAACTGAAGCCCACAGCAGCTTAGCTCACATGTCTTTCTTTCGTCGGCTTGCTAACGGTGAAGTTAAGAGCTAAAGAGTGCCACATTGTTCCCGCCGATTTCTATAATGGCCATAAAATTCTTTTGTAATGAACTCGGAAATATTTTAAACGGCGAAACCACTAGATCATTGTATTTAATTCGGCGGCCCTAAAAGGTCTGTCTGGGACTTGAATGCCGATTAAAGTGCTCTCGTTAATCTGGAATCAATTTGAGGAGTTTATTGAGGAGTTTTCTCAAGACATCTTGTTAATTTTTCTTAATAGTTTGGCAAAGGAATTAATTTTTAAAGGTTGGAAATATTTAAAGAGATTTGAGAGATCATCAGTCACAGAACAAAAGGCATAAAAGAATTAATTTTCAAAGAAAAAATCTAAAAAATATATACTCCAATAAGATCCTCATAACAAATAATCATCTTAAATGTGAGCCAATTTTCCGACCCAAATAGTCCCCTTCAATCAAATCATTCGATGATAGATTTCCCTTTAATTTATCCCCCCTTATAATCATTCAATTCACTTTCAAATACCGCACACGAGCATGCAACATTTTCAGTTTACAACTTAATCTTGGCCCAGACAAAATAACTCAGAATTCGTAGTGATTATGCTAATATTTTACGAGCTACTGTTATGGCCAAGATCGCAGCCGCGGGCCAAGACAAATGAGCCAGCCGATGGTCGGAGCAGTTAGCCTACTTGACCAGCCGGCCAGCAGAATTTACAGTTGCCTCTAAAATATATAAATATATATATACTTTAATTTGTATGTATATAAATAAGGCCCAGCAATATATTGCAGGCAAATGCGTCACCCGTCATTGAGCATTGCCAGCAAATAGCCATAACTATAGAGTAAGTAAGCCACGCATAAACTTCAAGTGCAGTGAAAGTTCATTTGCCATTGGGAATCGGTCTTGGCCCGGACTGGGATTCGGTCTTGGTCTGTGGCATTGGCATTAGCATTGCTATTGTCATTACCATACGCCCGCCCTGCCAGCTAAAATCGAGAAGAAAAGTGAAAAGGCCAAATGCCGATTGCAACTTTGCCAACTTTTTGGCCAGAATGGCGAGACTAATGCCTGGCTACTTGGCTAACAGCAGCAGCAGCGCCTAAGCAGCTGCAGATAATGTGCCACATTTGTCGGCCAAACGAGACACCCAGCGGATATCGAAGATGCTCGCCACGGGAGGACACTGAAAGAAATAATGAAAATTCTAGAAATTTCTTAAAATCTATTTTTACAATGCAAATATAAATTCTAAAATATAATAACTTTTTTTTATTTGTACTTGTACTTTAATATAAATCAAGTCGTCTTACAAAAAGCCTTTGCATCGAAAGATTTTAAGTTTTAATTAGTAACAAGTCCCCAAAGGCTCAACAATAACTACAAATATACTAGAAAAACATAAATTTCTTCAAGTGCATCACGACTTCTTTGGCTTTCTTTGAACTCCCCTAGACTCTCGATGCGATTTCCCTCCTAGGCACTCCTTGGCTCCCTTACTAAGGCATTCTTGGCACAGGTTTAAGCTTCACTTTTAGCCAGCTTTTTCTGTTGTTTTTTTTTTTTTTTTTTGGCGGCGTGGGCCGAATTTAGCAGGATGTTATCTGTTGGATGTCACCAACACGAAGAGTTTTGCGGGTAAACAATTTTTCACAGGCTGCCACCGCGGGTCGCATCCCCATGGATGGCTTTCACCCGGCATTGAATTTGGGAAAAATATTGACGATGCCTTGGGTCAAAGTACGCGCTGCTGCCATTGAAAGCGAAATGAGCCAAATAAATTGTGACAACGACGAGGAGACAGGCCAAACAAACAAACGACATGGAAAATCTACACGACTACAGCGACATTACTACATTTTCACTTATCACGACTCTCTCAATGGCATTCATGAGACCAAAACAATTAAATCAACAAAAAGACTCAAATAATGAATCTAAATAGGGGAAATAATAGCTCAATTTGTACACTTTGAAGAATAATGAAATATGGAAATTAGAGTGTTATTAGCTGAGGGAAAACTAGTAAAGTCACTTAGTGTGATGTTGAACTCCCAATACCAACAAATTTTAGAAAATTATCGTATTAAATTAGAGTTTTTATAGCCCTAGGTTAGGGCAAATCTCACAAGTTTAAGCTCAGAAAATTAGATCTTAATTTGGTAAGAGGAAAACCTATAATAAACAGTACCCTCCAGTCATAATTGTACCTTAAAAATAACTAGTTTCCTTTTAGTTTTCTACTCTTCTCTGAACTTTCATTAAGAAATTGAATTATTCCCCATTAAATGGGCTCGCTTATTAAGATGCAAGTGACTTGGACGACAAGCGGCAATAATTTTAATTGCTGGCAATCAATCGCTGAGCATTTTCACTGCATCGCTGATTGATGGCCAATATATAAATGCTAACTAAAGCGCGTGGCATGCGCCGTCAACAAGTGAAGTTGTAGTTAAAGGGGAAGTTATATACGAAAAAAACCGGAGGCTCCATGGATAAAACACATTTGCACGCACCGCACATCTGTGTAGCAGCGCTGCCTTGTTAGCGCCTTTGACTTGCAGCAAAAACCACACAAGGTGTTGATATGAGATTTCCCAGTCCGTCTTCACACATACTTTCACTCAAATATTTGCTGTGGCTGGACCATGACCATCTAAGCCACGTTAGCCAAATTAGACCACAAATACAAATCCCCAATGGTTGCAAGAAAGTCAGTCAAAGTCAGTTGTCGTTAGGCTGTCATTGGGTTAGCCAGCCAGTTTGCCCAATTCGTTGGCAGTTTTCCATCAAATATTTGGCCAGCTTGGCCCCATATTTACGCTCTTCTTAATTTTTTTTTCTTGATTTTATTGCAGAAGTCTCGCCATATGTGGATCTGGCCTTGTGTCCTATTCGAGCGGAGCCCTGGACCTGTGCCCGCCAGCAGTCCGCGAGGATACTGGACGCCTGGGATGGAGAGCTTCATGTTCAATGGCAAAAGCTGAAGGGTGAGTTTTGGAAATTAAACTTAAAAAATATTTTAAAATTTAGAAATTAAGATTACAACCACTTAAGTCAAATAGTAAACAAAAGGAAGTATTCCCTAAAATCTAGCTTTAATTTCAAGATGATGAAAAATTAAGTACAAGCTTTGAATAGAATTTCCTAAAAAGAGAGAGTAAATAAAATCAAAATACATTTTTCCACTACCTAAAAATTTCCTAAGCAACCTATAAATTAAAATTTAGCTCGCGAATAATTGTTTACTTTTCTCCAATAAATATTCTTCCTTAAAAGTTCATTAAACTAAACACAACCTTGAATGGTTAGAGTGTCAGTCAAGTGCCTAATTAGGTGCTAGGTGAGAAACCTTTTCAATGACAAAGATTTTCCCACAAAAACAACAAAAAAAACTTGCAGAAAAGAAAAGCTGGCATTTTCACCAAAACTACAAACTTACAATTAAAGTTCAAAGCGTTACTCGTGGGTGAGAACTTCAGGAGAAACTAAAAACAAACCCGCAAGGCTGATCACATAATGCGATAATCGATGTGTTTAGGGGAGTTGGCTTGGGTTTCATCTCCATGGAAAAGCAATTAAAATTGAAAACATTTTCTTCTCTCCTTACCATGTCCTCTCATTTTCTTTTCTCTTATTTTTTTTTGGGACAGTCGAGGCCGATCGGCAGATGAATGCGACGATCGAGCGGCGGGGTTATAGCACCTCAGAGCTGCCTGTGAAAGAGAAGCCATCGACGATACTAAAGAAAATCGAAATCGGCACGAATTACATGAAGAAATATCTGGCCGAGTCCATGGACGGGTGAGTGCAAGTGCTAAAAAACAAGTTGAATCCACAAAATTTTCGCCATTTCGCATTTTCATTTCTCTATTTTCTTCCTGTTTTTCCGCCTTCCAACCGGCTCTCAACCAACAGCTTCCTCGGCCGCGAATACGAGTATTTGCAGACCCCAAAGGCAGCTGAAGATGATAGTGAAAACGACGACGGCGACGATGATGATGAAACGGATGCTGCGGACGATAATGATACCAGTAATGCCGCCGAGGAGGAGGAGGATGCTGCCAAGGATGAGGATGAGGATGACGATGATGAGGACGAGAATGAGGATATCTCGGACAGCACAGCGGAGCAGGATGACCAAGACACGGATCCCGAGAACGATGACGAGGATGTGGATGAGGCGGCATCGGAACCGGAGAAGGAAGCGGAAAAGGAAACAGTGCCCAGTATTTTCAGTGGTCAGCCAGCGACGACGGCGGCAGCGGCGCAGGACGATGGGAAAAGCCCAGCTTTCAGCGAGGGCAACTCTTCCTCAGGTTTTTATATTTTTTAAATTTATTAAATTCAATTAACTTAAACAATTAATTATTTTCAGGTGTGGAATTCATTGAACTCCAGGATGGCGATGAAACGGCGGCTGGTGCCCTTAAAAAACCCGGCGGTGGTGGAGGAAAACGCAAGAAGAACAAGAAGAAGAAGGGTGGCAAGCGAAAGAAGAACAAGAAGGGTCAGGGCCAGGACTCCCAACCTGCCACGCTGGTGGTGGTCCAGGCAGCGCCCGAGCATCACGAGGTGGACCATGGCCATGGCAGCGATTCCGCGATATTTAGCCATGGTTCCAGCGATGATGATGACGAGACCGTAGCCGTGAAACCCATGAAGAAGCGGAAGCAGAAGCGCCGCATGAAGGGCAAGCGGAAGCGGAAGGGTCAGCACGGCGGTTCCAATTCCGTGGTGGAGCACGAGCAGAGCGACTTGAGCCTGGGATTGGGCCTCCTTGACGAGCTCGTGGATGCGGATGACTACGCCGGCGGCGGCGGCAAGCGGAAGCACAGGAATCCACTAAATTATGGTAGAAGTAACGGAGGTGTGTGTTGTTTGCTGCGTGTGGTTTTACATGACTTTTGCGCACCATTTTTCCTAGCACCAATTTTGAGTGCCTTCTATGTTTAATTTTTTACGATTTTTAAACTACTTTTATTTATATTGGTTTTTTCCGGGTTGAGTTGAAGGTGTTCGATTATTGAAGGGCAGAAAATAGTTATATAATATGGTTTTTCATAACTAAGACAGGTTTTGAAAATATTTATAATCAATTTCCATTTATTTAGAACCAAATTAATGCTAACTCTAATTTGTAAAATACAAGTCAAAGGCTTTTATGCAGATATTCCCAAACTAGCAATGTATTAAATACGAAAATCTGCTAAAATTTTAAATATTATCTACTCTTAAAAGACAAAAACAGTAAAAGCAGAATCTGTTAGGTCTCTTTGATTTTTCCATTAACTTATTCATAACAAAATCTATTTTTAAAAGTATTTATTTTGAAAATAAGCGCTCTTTACCGATAACTTAAATAATCGAATTGTGGCGCCCCATAGCGGATATCTAACTAGGTTCTGCTTGTCGAACTGCTTGCGAACTGCTTGCTTTACACTGGGAGAATAAAACGTAGATAAGAAACTTCAAAATAAATTTTACAAAAATTCTAAATTTATATAAACTAAGTAAAGTTAAGTTAGGTTAAAGTAAGTTACATTTTATAAGTTTTTCCTTAAGTTTTTTTGGTTTAATTTGTTGATATTGCTTGCTTTTGGAATGCTTTTTCATCGTTACCGTTATTGTTAACGCACCTAACGCGCACAGCAGTTCATACTAACAAACACCACCCTCCCAAGCGATCAAATTATTATATTATTTGCGTTACTCGTTCGATTCTAGACAAGTAAGTGTAAAGAAACCTGGAACAAAGCGATACTAACCCTCTCTCCGATTATCTTCCTCATAAAAATCAATTAACTATAGTGACTCGCGGCAAGAAGAAGAAGAAGAAGAAGGCCATCGCCAAATTCATGCTAATTGGCAGCTTCCTGAAGGCCAAAATTGAGCTGCTGCTGAAGATCCTCGGAGCCCATCTCCAGGTCAAGTTCTTTGCCATCGCCCTAATCGGTTTGCTGATCAATATAGCCCGGTTCTGGATCGACGTTAAGCGCGGCAGTCCGCCGTCCAAGGTGAGTGTGGAGTCGTAATCCCAGTTCGAGATGGGATCTGTTGTGAGTTCTTAACCCGGGACCGAGTTCTTAACGCGACACACACGAAGGTTAACAGACCAGCGATGTTTCCTAACGGATTTTCTGCACTCTTTCAGCTGTGAAAAGAAATGTCCTTACACTAGTCATAAGTCGAACACACACTTCAGGTTTTTCAGGTTTCAGGTTTTTGTTGGCCAAGGTTTGTCTCTGCTCAAGGCACTGAGGAGCAGATCATATAAATATTTCCAACAGCTTTCCTTGACTCTACCCCTGCTCTCTATCTCTCTTCCTATGCTCTACCACACAAGATGTACATATTTCAAGTTTGTAAAAAGCGTTAACTTCCAAAGAAACAAAAACACCCGAGGCGCTCTAACACCTCTAACTGTTCCGGATTTTCTCCAAGCTTCAAACTTCCAAACTTCAAACCACCAGAGTTCCGTTCCACAAACCACCTAACTTACCAAAAATGTGCCGTATGCTAACAAATTCAGACCTTTTTGGTTTCAGATATGGTAAAATTTTTGGACAGCTCTCACAAACGTTTTCGGAACATACAACTCAAATAAGAAAAGCAATACAAATGTGTTCACTAATAACAATCAAGTACACTTTAAGACCCAAAAAATCAGAACAATTCTGACCGTAGTGTTCGTTTCAAAGACTTTCCCTCACACTGTGTAAGTACGAGTTATAAAAGCCATAACTCTGAAATTGCCAATTGAAAGAGTCCGGCCAGACAGACAGATGATACAAGACACAAATAACACTGGACAAAGGTGATTTTCGGTGCAGAAAGAACTGAAAAAATTATGGTAATTCTGATTATTCCCAAAGTAAATTTATAATTAGAAAGAAAGTGATTTCAAATCTTTAGAGTTTTACTTTACATTCTAATATAAAATCTTTTAAGATTTTCTACCTATAAACTTACTTCTTAAATATCAAAAAATCGTTTGATTCGTTGTCTTAAAAAGTAAACAAAAATACCAACTTGAAACTGGAATAACCAATATTACTATAGACCTGCACCAAAGTCTTCCTTTGTTGACCTGTGTAATAATATACAGATATACAAAATATATACAGCAAAAAAAAAAACAGAAAACCACTCACACTCCTGGGCCTCTTTGGTACTTCCTCTGGTGTTTCTCACTTCACGGCACACGTCTTGCATATTTTCTAACTAGGTTGTATACGTTGAACATGCCCACCATCAGCACCACTACGAGGATCATGGCGACGACTGGAGCGAGCAGGGCAGCTATTGGAAGCGATCCCTGCAGACGGATCCCTCCATTGAGGATACCGACTCCTCCACGGACAGCTACCAGCTGCGGCAGGCACAGCAGCAGCAGCCTGGCATCCAGGATCCCCACTATCTGGCCTATCGCAACCAGTACCAGTGGCAGTAGAACCCTAATTCCAAATCCCTTAAATCCAAACCCAACCTCTGACCTCCAATGGAGACAGCCCCCCCAGAATAATATATTACTTGTATTTATTTGAGTTATATCTCGTATCACGATGCTGATTATTAAATAATCCCCGAGGTCCTAGAGCAAAATTACATTTAGCACAACGCGAAGAGGTGCCAGTAAACCAATTTTTAGTTCGTAACCTAACCTAAACCCTAAAGCCTAAAGATGAAAACGCTGCCTTAGTTGAAATTGTTGTTAGTGCAATGCCTTAATTATGTAAAACTAAATTTTAAAAATGTACCTTTTAATGAGAAATCGAAGAACTGTTTTTGGAATACAAACATATTCGGAGCTAAATGAAACAAATTAGGCTTAAGTTATTTATGCAAATTATTTATTGTATTTCGTATGTTATATGCTGATGCTTATTAAAGAAAACAGATTTGATAATTGTAATATTATTGGATTGTAAGCTTTAATTTAATAGGTAATGTATGCGAAATGAATTCATTTTTGGCTTAGTTATCTTATAATCCTTCCTTAGCTTCCTTTTTTATTCGCTGTTAGCTTTCCTGCCCACTTCCTGCTTCCCATTTCTGGGCCAGCTCCCTGCCATCTACACAATCCCCCATTTCAAGTGGGTTCCGCCCAATCACAAAGCGGTCAATTCTTGCTGGAATTCCGAAAGAGAAGTTTCACCTGCTCGCCCGTGCAGTTGATTCTAATTCCGTGGCCCAATTCTGGAGCTGAAGTATGCTCCGTAATACCAAATAGGGGCGACGTGCGCCCAAAATAGACGCGTCTCCGGGACCCATTTATTTTTTCTTTAGTGTATTTTTTTGGGTGTCGCGTCGAGCAATTTGCGCATGCGCAAATCGTGCCAGAAATATTTTTAAGGTTTCTGCAAATAAAAAAAACCACTGACGACAATGTTTGTAATAACCAATTAAATTTGTGTTTGACAAACGTCTGACAAGCTGAGCTCTGAATTTATGGCTAATAAATTTGACTGCCGATTTGGGGACAATATTATATTAAATGTCCGAAGAAGGGCTGTTTTTATTTGGGAGAGCATTTATCATTTACTTGTCGTTTTATTATATAGTCTATATTATATAGTCTAGAAAAAAACTATCACATAAAAGCTTTCTAAATTGAAATTAATGCATTTTTGGCTTAGTTATGATCGATTTTTGATTCGATCCCATAATCCTAAAGCGAATTTCATGGGTATACAAATTTGGATTTCTGAAGTTAATTTCCTTTCTGATTATTGATTATATTGTTACCCCTTTTTCCTTTTTTTTTTAATTTAAATTAATTACTTAGCAAAGATTTAAAACCTAATAGTGGGGAGACAAAAAGAAAGTCAAGTGCTGCAAACTTAAAATTGTGCCTCAAATTAGCCTCTCATCAGCTTCACACGCATTCTGACACGTTTTACGTAGGACAGCGCCACAATCACATTTTGATATTGACCTTGTTTAAATTAATTGAAAGAAAACCTCTCTTAGGGCCATTAAAATGCACCATTGGGCAGCGCGAAGAAAAGCGAATTGACATGCCGTGTGCGGGAGTGGGCGGAGGTTCGTGCAAAGAAATGCTTATCATTAGCAAAATTAAAATCAATGAAATTGGCCATAAAAATTCAATTGACTTGGCCCAATGCGTGGGAGCCCGCAGGTCCAAGTTCCAGTCCCTCCGTGGATCATATCGGATCGGATTGGATTGGATTGGAACTGGAAATGAAGGTGTCTGGAAACGTGTGCCACATAATTGATTGTTGGGAGAAACAGAAATAGTTTAGTTTTCAGCACTTTCTAAACTACGCCTGTGCACTGAAAGAAAAACATATTAATTTATAGAATATAAACATAATCCCATATTTTTTGTTAAATAACTACAATAAATATCACCCCTTTTTTTAATACTTTGATTATTTGATTTACAATGTACCTCTTGTTTATAATATAATTTTTCACATCAATCGATTGTGGTTTGTCCAATTTATTTCAGTGCATTTCGGACTTTGCTTTATGTGTGCAGTGGGCGGCGTTGGATCGATCTGGTTTTCATGATGGGTGAGGCTCCTGGCCATATATCATGCAGATACGATCTGTTCTCGATGTGTTGCCAAAAAAGAAATAATGCAAAAATCGACGAGTCCATCAATTGAAATTCTTGTAGCGCGAATTTTTCGCTCAATGAGGATGAAGAAGAGCCACTTTTAGCTGAAATAACGGTGAGCAACGTGCGGTGTTTGCGAAAAACCATAAATAGTATCTCATATAGTATCAATGGATGTGTGGATTTTGGCGAAAGGAAGTGTCAGCGTCACGCCCACACAATGCTGACATTTGGCATGGCTCAATTTTTGATCGATTGTTATCGATTTGTTTCGATTTTGAGCGAATTTCTAAGCGCGTTCCGTGGCTGCTCCACTAAGTGACAGGCGGCGACGTGCCACTGTCAAAATGAACTGTCAACTCGGGCATTTGATTGCCGGACTGCGCTTAACGCAAACTTAATTTATTTATTTTATTTTATTTTAATGGCCGCTAGAAAGTATCACGTATACGCACCGTGCACGCGACTCTGATCGGTGGCGGAAAATGTTTAATTCCAATTCCAACGCCCACACGTGTGTCCAGTGTCTTGATTTTTTGTGGCTTCTGAAATTGAAAAGCGCTCATGATTTTCCATTGCAGTGAGATTTGCATTTTAGAAAGTTACATGTGTTTTTTCGCTGCATTATAATCGAGGCAGAAAACCGAAAAAAAAAGAAAGGGTTTCTGAGGCATAAACATTTTTGTAGAAAAAAAATCACTGTCCTCTGTCTATTTATAATTTAATTTTTCATAATTCCAGTCATGATTTTGCTTTTTGCCAGAAAGTAGAACCTCAACACGTCCCTCGCTTATCTTTGCACGATTTCCGTCCGTCTGACTGTCTTTTCCAGCAAACATTTCACGCAAAATGCATTGCGAATTGCTTACTTTGTTGCCAAGTGCGAAAAAGTGCCTGAAGGCATGTTAATGATTTATGCTAAATAATGTACTGAAGGGAGTTAAAAAGGGTGTATTCAACGAGTTTATTATATTTATTTGCTTGGAAAATAGGTTTATTAATACAAGAACTTTATGGTGAAAATATACTTCGTTTGGGGAGTGACTATCACGAATATGTGAACCTATCTTGAAGAATTTTAATCTAATATATATCATCTATATATTTTTTTAGTTGTGTTCAAAGAAATCTGTGCTTTGTAAAGTGGTTTCCCTCTCATTATACAAAATAGTCAGATTGAGGCTTAATCATTAAGCCCCTTAGCTTTAGAGAACTCTCAGAAAACATACAACTTAAAGAACATTTCATCAACATTTATTTAAAAAACCCCCCATCGACTAGCATTCCTCATCCTGTTCCAACATTAGAGCCAAGTTCCAAAGAACCTTCAGTTAATAATGTGACAAAGTTTTATTACCAAGAAATTGTTTATCCATTAGTATCAGGCAACGACAATGGCAAATGGGTGACGACGAGGACCGACCAGATTACACTCGAAAGATTGCCCCGCCAACGACGTGAGATTGCAGTTTTATGGCCTGGCAAAGATCACTTCTGAAGAGACAGAACCATAACCATCTCCGAACTCCCGTGATGGGCAAACCCGAATTCGATGGGGTTCATTGGCTCGGCCCTGGGCGCTCCGCAGAGAAGGATTATGCAACGAAATGAAATATCATCATGCAGTGACTTTCACACACCCAAATAATATAACAAATAAAAAGGCAAAAATAATAACGAATCCGAAACTCCCAAAACAAGCGGAGCCTATTAAGGCGCATTAGCAATTTAGAATGGTGTGCTACCAGTCCACGTATTACACTATTACGCGACAATTATGAATTTCTAATTTCGTGTTTATTTTAACCCCTTTCCTCCCTCTGGCTCGTTCTATCAAAATCACGTACGCCTCGAAAAAGCGAAAGCTGCACAGAGGCCATTGGCATCGGAAATAGCAATAAAGTTATAATAATAATAATTATGGTATATTTCTTATAAATAATGTATTAAACACATGGCGTTAGTTGTTTGATATTGCTGTACTTTGATGGCTAAAAATCAACCTTGAGGCGGCTCCTCAAAGCTGGCTTTTTTCGCCTATCTGGTGTTGTGCATCTTGTAAGGGAACTACGAGTTCCTGGCATATTAATGATGGTGTATGTCTGTCTGCGAGAAAAATGCTACAGACTGTGGTGTTGGGTCTTCATAAACTATACCATTTTTAGGATTCAGTTTGTAACTTGTTGTTGAACTTGTACATATGGTAGTTGCAGACCAGCTCGATGAACTCCATGAAGTTATCCTTGTTATCCTGGTCGGTCATCCCCCTTCAAAGCAATCACGTCCAGCGCTCGGATGATCAGCGGCAAGAGTTCCTCAGGCATTTCATCTTCTCCTTGAACAGGACCTGCAGCAGCAACCATAGTTTACGTTTATGGGTGTCAATGTTAGTCTTTACTATTTTTTATAAAATCCTAAACAGATCCCTTGTTCTTGTAGACCAAGATTCTCCTATTCTACCCCTTCCCAGCTGGCTCTCTCCTACTCAAATAGCTTCCACTGGGAATGAGTTCCACAAGCCAGCCCAAAAAAAAGCGGCACACTTTAAGCGCATGCGCGCCAAACTCAACACACACTCAAGCGAACTCACCTATGTACGTGTGCGTATACGCAATGTCACGTCTGCAAAGAAGTCTCCTCTTCACCAGCCCAGGTAATGGCAATGACAATGCTCTGTAGGTGTAATTGAGTTGTTGCTGTGCCACCTTTCTTTGCCCCGAGTATGTGTGTGCGTGTGTGCGCACGCACCTGAAGGGCCTTTTTGGTGTGCGTGAGTGAGTCTTTCTTTCGGTTTCTCTGACTTTTTGCATTCTTAATAAATCAGCGCGAAGAATATATAAATTGGGCGGCGCGGTGTTTGGACGGTCGCAGTTAGTATTTCCCAGCCAACGGTGCCTCACAGGTGTGACAGCCGCAGTGCGAGTGCAAGCCTTGGTTTTAAGATCTGGATATCGAAACCGAATTGGATTAAACACCACACACACACACTCCTCCACAACTCCAAGAAAATATTTTTAAAAAATCTAGGAAAAATCGCCCGAAAAACGGATTATCGAATGTGCTAAAGACAAGTGTGATATTATATGTACATATATAGTGACCTTAACTGAACAATCTGTGTCGAAAAATGTGGAAAACCGTGTGTGTGCTGATTCTTCTGTCGGTCGTCTGCAGCGCAGGACCGCTGAATTCCCACCAGGTGAGTTTCAGTACGATAATCGGGTAGGATCGGTTAACTAGTTAACCTTTAGAAATGACAAGCGGTTGATTTATAAAGCGGGAATATTCAATTTAAAATAGGGTTATACTGATATTAGTTTATCCGATAATCGGCTAATATTAATGATTTTTTACAATTTCTGCTGTGATTTCGGTGATCGGATAAAATCGGTAATAAAATCTGTCGTATGGAATATTAAATTCTCAATTATTGATGAGTCTGGAATATCCTTATGTTGGAATTGTCTTTCCATCGGGAAATCGAACAATCCAGTATTTTGAATAATTGGTAGAAATATCTTAATTAAAATCTTTATTTATCGTGCAATTTGTTAATCGTATAATACATTAATCCTGTGATAAGTAAGACGTAGAACCCCCAGATTCAACATAAACTTAAGAAAATATCAATAAACCGGGTAAACCTCTAACCGCAGACAACCGGGAATATCCAGCAGACAGCCTGACCACCAAAGTGACCACTTCCGTTCGCCTTAACGGAAATGGTTACTGGGAGAAGAACTGTTAACGAAAATGTTTGCCGGCCCGCCGAGCCATACAATGTCGTTTTAATGGGACACAACCTGAGCACCTGGAGGGGAATCGGTGCATTTGCATACTCCCCGTCGAAAATCGTACATCTCTCGCTCAGTCCCGGCTTATTTGGTATGCCAAGCGTTTAGCCTTCTTTAACGGCCAAGCACCAAGAACCAAGGAGAACGAACAGACTTCTTGGTCTAAGGTATTTATAGGCACTTGCAGGTGGCTTAATGACAGGTAGAAGCCGGCAAGAATTCGCCATGTGGAATGTACCAGGAATAGCTAATTCCCCTTAATACGACAGCCATTGAAATTTTGCCATGAAAAAAGCATTACTCATGCAGTGGCCCTTATTGGGGATATCAAGGGGAAAGGCTTTCGTTCCAAGCTCATTGAAATGCAGCGCCCAAAATAATAAAAAAAAAAAAATTAAACAAAAACAAGTATCGATATGGCTAAAATATTATGTGATAATATTTGAGCGTTCCATTCGAAAGTGACTTCAATTGCACTGCACGGCCCTTAAAAGGGCAGCCAGCCGCGGCAACAGGTGCGAAGTGCACACTAAGGCAGGGGTTATTTCTTTGATTCCAGTCGATTCGATTCGATTCGCTTCAATTTTCACTTGCCGCCAACCGAATAGGCGAAAACTAGAACACAAGTGAAATTTTTTCGGGTCCCTAGCTGTGGTCGTACGATCGCAGGGTCACGTGCTGGATTTCTTGGATTATCCACGCCGATCACGTCGTAGCTCTTTAGCTGAATGATGGTCGCAGCTAGCTAATCATATGCAGAAATTAAGTTTAGTGTTTGATATTACGACAAGGTATACCAAACTTTTGTTAGTTAATATACATTCGTTGTAATACATTTGTTAGATATTAACTAGGAAATTAATAAGGAAAGGTACATAATTTATATAAATGTTTAACTATTTTAAGGATTTTTCAAGACTCTGATATCGTATATTTTTTGTCTTAGAAAAATTGAAGTTGAAGATTTAAGTATCAATAATCTCTTCTTCTTCCAGAAGAGAAAAACGCCAGTGGTCCGTGAGGAACCGGTACCGGCTGAGGTGGAAATGCCAGAGCAGACTGAGACAGAGGCAGCTCCAGCTCCACCTCAGGAGGCAGCATCCCTGGGCACACTCACTCTGCCCAGCAATGCCACCTCCATTCGGGCGGATATCACAGATAACTTCTCGTGCTCGAACAAAACTTATGGCTATTACGCGGATGTGGAGAACGATTGCCAAATCTTCCATGTGTGCCTGCCGGTGACCTATGCCGATGGCCGTGAGAACACCTTCCGCTGGAGCTTCATTTGCCCCGAGGACACTATATTCAGTCAGGTAAAAATTCTAATATTTTGCCATTTCATTTGATTTGATTCAAAGGCTTCCTTTCCCAGGAATCCTTCACCTGCATGCGACGCGAGGACATGACCATCGAGTGCGAGGATAGCGCCAGGTACTACGAGCTGAACGGCAACTTTGGTGGTGCAGCAGAGGAGGAGAGTAAGCCCACACCCGAGGAGAGTGAGCAGCCGGAGAAGGAGGTGATGGATGCCAAACCCGTTGAGGCTGAGCCAAAGGTCCCGGCAGAGCCTGCTGTTGAGGAACCCCCGAAGCCGGCTAAGCCTGTCAAGGTGCAGAAGCCCAAGCCCAATCGCCGAAAGCCTCAGCAGCCCCAAAGAAAGGTGCCAGCTCCGGTGACCGCTGCTCCTGAAGTGGAAGCTGTTCCGGAACCAGTTGCTGCCGTGGAAGTGGAGGCCAAGCCACCGAAGCCACAACGATTCACCAATAGGCCAAACAAGGATAAACCACATGCCTACAGGCCTGCCATCGCTGCTCCTCCACCAATGAGGAACGAACTCTTCAATGGCATTCGCAAGCGTCCGGCGATCTTCAATAAGCCAACCAGCACGAGCACAGCCAAGCCCGTGGAGGAAGTGGAAGTGGTGGTGGATAGCGAACCAGCAGTCACTGAGGCTGTGGTTCAGCTAAGTGAACCCCAACCCACTCTGAAGCTGCAGACCATGTTCAAGGAACCAGCTTTAATTCCCGTGGAAGTGCAGGAACCCATGGCTCAAGCTTCCGAGCCAGCCGTGTCTTTCGTTCAGCCAGAGACAGTTCCGGAAGAGGTGGCACCCACCAAGATTGAAATCGATACCAGGATCGAGGAGGTAAAACCCATTGAAGCAATTGAGGAGATTCCTGCTGTCATAGTGGAAAGTTTGGATGAAAAGAAGCCAGAGGAGAGCGAGAAGGAACCATCTAATGAGGAGCTTGTTAAGGCAGAAGAGGAGATCAAGCCAGAAGAAGGAATCAAAGCTGAAGAATATGTCAAACCTGAAGTAGAGATCAAGCCAGTAGAACAGATCCAAGCAGAAGCAGAGATCATGCCAGCCGAAGAGATTCAGCCTGCAGAAGAGATCCAGCCAGCAGAAGAGATCAAAAGCCAAGAAGAACTCAAGTCTGACGAAAATCTGAAACCCGAAGAGGAGCCAGAGGTACCCGCCCAAGTTGAGGAAATCTATGAAGCCAAGCCAGAGGAAATCAAAGCGGATCCTGCTATTATTGAAACCAGCAACTCCAATGAGGAAACCCCCGTCAGCATTGAAGCTTTGGAAGCAGCCAAGCCAGCCGATGCCCCGGAAAGCATGCCTGCCACTCCCGAAATGGAGCAACACAGTCCGCTTGTCGAGGAAATCCTTGATAACAGCAGCAACAGCGAAACAGAAGGAGAGGCCCAGGAATCCCTTGGTGGCTTCAAGCCCGTCGATCCTGTAATGGCCGCCGAGGCAGAACAGTTGATCACCGATTTCCTTAATACCCTGAAAAAGAACGAAGAGAAAGCCGAGACTGAGATGGCAGACACCATTCTACCCGTGAGTAATGCGGATGTGTCCATCGAGGAGGCCAAGCTGCCAGAACCCGAGATCGTGGACAAGAATGCCTCTGTGGAGGAGCAAATCCTAGAGGAATCGGAGCCCCATAAGTCCCAAAAGCATCAAATGATGAAGGACTCACCCATTATTAATATCATGCAGTTGAGCCATCTGCCCATGGACTACCAGATCCCAGTTCAGGTTATTCCAATGGAGGCTCAGCCCGTTCCCGAGATTTCTGCGCCATCAGAGGTGCCTGAAGAAGTCAAGGCGGAAAAACCTGAAGAAGTCAAAGAGGAAAAACCTATCGAGGACATCCAAGAAACTGTCAAGGAAGCTATTCCGGAGGAGGTAAAGGAAATTATTTCCGAAACCGAGAAGGAAATCACTCCTGAGGCGGAATCCAAGCCGGAGGAGACTCCCAACCACGACGATGCCCAGGAGGAGAGCCTAGTCACTGCCTCCTACATGCCCTCTATTAGTATCGATGACATCGTGGAACTGGTGAAAGAGCGCCTCGACCAGACCCCCAAGAAGGATCAGATGGCTCCCATGGAGCTGATACTCACGCCAGGTGCGGCCGCACCCATGACTCTGGTTCAGAGCACTCCTGCCCAGGCAGTCGAGCAGCAGTCAGAGCCGATGGAGGAGGAGCTCATCCTGCCCATCTACAAGCGCGTCTCAACCGCCGAACCAGCCATGTCCAAGGTTCAGACGCTGCCCGTGACCGGTAGCAAGGTGGAAACGGTACCCGAATCCCAACCGGAGGTCAGAGAGCCCAAGATGGACGCCCGCAAGCGGCGCTTCTTGTTCCGCGCCGATGCCAGCTAAGCTCCCAAAAAGAGAGAATCAGAGATAGATGGACAAATAGCAGTCCCCGGAGCGGACCAGCCTCCTGCTCCCACTTAGCCCGAACCGGAACCCCGTTCACACCTCCTAGTTCCCTAAAACGCTATCCCACTCATTTGCACCTAGGCAAGTTCTACATTAATTATTTTTGATTTCCTAGTTTTATGGCCACAATTTCCCAAAGGAAAAACGCGCACGAGAGTTGAAATTTAAGTTTAGAATTGTTGTTCCCACGAGCGTTTGAATTAAAAACAAATTAAAACAAACAAAAATTTGAAAAAACAAGAAAAAAAAACTTAAAATAAAAATCTTAAAAATCTAAAACCCAAACTAGTTGTTTGCTTTGTGTAGCTAAAATTGAATTCGACATTTGGCCAGCTAATCAACTCCATCGTGCAGAGGTTTGAGTGTCTTGTGTATTGCCAAATCGCATTCAACCTCTGAACGGTAGAGATGGTGAGCTTTAGAGCAACCTAAATTTATATGCTAAATTTTAATATTTTATAAAGCAAAATCAATTGAAGAAGAGATATTTTTAAACATATTTTAGTGCAAGAAAGGGGAAAAAATTATACTTCTTCACAGTCAAAAATGTTGACCTACAGCTAAAAACTATTTCTTGCTTTAAACAAAAGACTTACAACACAAACTTGTTAAAAAAGTTAAAATTAATAATGGGAAAAATACCCCATACAAAAAAAGGGTCAACTTAAGTACAATATTCATAATTTATTATAGAAAATCGTTTACAAATCGCATTAACACTTAAGCTTTGGGTAATTAGCTGTATGAGGCAACTACCAGGTGAGAGAACTACAAAATATACAAATACAGTGGACACTGGACGATAAGTAACTATGACATCACATTGACATTGAACCCAACCCCACATTGCCTACGCCTCCGTCTCCTGGTCCAGTTCGCCGGCCTGGATCTCCTCCGGTGTTCGCAGATCGATGGCGAACTTTTGGCGCGTTGGCGTAATGGTGTCTCCATTTGTCTGGTCATCCTCCTCCCCGGCCAGTTCCTTGACCCTTCGGCTGTAGTCCTGAAAAGCGGCGGCCAGAGCAAAGGTTAGCTTACGGGCCATCGCCCGGCTATCGCAGACGAAGGCATGCACCTCGAACGGATGCGGACTGGCCTCATCTTTGACCACAATCATGGCAAAGACCCTGGTGTAGACCAGATCCTGCACTCCATATGATATTGTGTCAATGGGGTAGCTCCAGTGGTTGATGCTGGCCTTGGGCGAGATGATCTCCAGCTGAACTCCGTTTGTGGATACCTTTAGGTCGCAGTTTGGTAAGACCTTATTGGGTGGCAGGTTCTTGGCGACGCCCACCATAATATCCACGGGCCGGCGGGTGTACTTGATGCCCCACAAGCCGCGAGCCACCTCCGAGCCAATGTATTTTACCTGAAAGAAAATAATATTTGTTAATATCAGTTTTATTTATAATATTTAAGGTACAATCACTAACACTTCCTCATCGGTAGTTACAACTGACTATCTTCTTAATTTTATTTGGGGTACTTACCTTCTCTTACTTTTATCCTAAGAGTTTTTGCTTATTTTTAAATTTCAAACATTATCTCTAAATAGTAATTAAGTTGGGAAACATGAAACTCTTAACAAAAAACCGACTTTTTCTCTCATTCTGCGTGTGAGCCTCGATGAAAGAGATGTGGGGGTGCCTCTGGGACAGCTCATTGGTGGCATTCGCTTCCGCTGCGCATGCGTTGCCGTTAGAGTCGCTTCATTTGCATCCGACCTGGCCGCGGTTCTCGACCGGATGTCCATAGTCGGGCCAAAAAGTTGGGGCCACCGCTGCTGCTCATAAGTGTGTGTGAGAGCTCTCTCGGGTTCAGCAGGGCGTGACGCGTGCGTGTCTGGCTCTGCTTTTTTTTTTTGGCCATTTTCGGTTTAGAGTGCGGGTGGTATTTCCATATGTACATATGTTTGGGTTGGATTTCAACACTCGAAACAAATTTTATAAATTTTACATAATAAAACTTTACTACCTCAAAACTGATCTATATTCAGACTACTTATAAATTCTAGGTGAAATAAATCAATTATAAACTAAAATTTTTAATAAATCTTGCATTTTCTAAATTTCATATTAATTTTTCCCAGTGTATAGCTTGCCATGCAAGAGGTGTTTACGGGGATCGGTGCCTGAACTTGCGCCAGTCATTTCACAGCACTTAAATAGCCATTCCGCAATGCAGACTCACCTTGAACGTAATGGGCAAGTCCTCCACATTGACCTGGCTGTCCAGATCGGTGGTGCTGCTGCTATTGGAGGCCATTTTCTATATCTCTATATATCAATCTCTTTATCCGAAGCTCGTGGGACAGTTGTGTCAGGTCAGATCGCGGCCGTTAATCGCATTCACCGCAAAACCAACTGAAAAATGTTACAAAAAAAGATCGTAAGTAAGTGGAGTGAACTCCCATTATGTGTACCTTCTGGTGGCTATGTAGTGCACATTACCATATCTTCACCGTAATCGCTAGACTTTACATGGTTTACTTTGTGCGCTTCTTGAACCTATATACGCGGATATATACGAGGAGAACACTGTATATCGGTCGAGACTAATTGTTCTGTTTGGCTCTGTTGCCGGCTGCCGATTGCCACTGAACTAAACTCGGCCAGCGAGCGGCGGCGGCAAAAGGTGTCGCAAGTTGTGCCCCAGGTAAGCTCCACTCCCTCTCGCTCTCAGTCCCTCTGGCCTTTTCTCTCCCTCTCTCGCACAGGTATCGCAACAACAAATAAAGAGCGCAGGCCAAACAAATGGGCTAAACAAAAGCAGCGCTCAGATAGCTTATTTCTCTCACGCGGTGTCGCAGCCTAAGCACAAACAACTGATATTAGAAGCAACAGTTATGCACGGAAAGAAAAGTAAACAAAAGCCTAAATTGTTTAAAATGTTAAGAAAAGAAGGAGCATACCAATTTTTAAAATAGATTTAATTCAAATGATAAAAAAAATATATATATATAATAAATGAAATATATATGAAATATAGAAGGTAGAAACATATTGAGGATTGCAAATATTGTGTTTTTTGTATTTACTCAAGTTATTATATAATTTAATTAAAATAAAGTGAATAACTGATTGAATAACAAATTACTAACTAATAGTATTGGAGATTTTTATATCTTATAACAATTTTCTAACTCTAAATAATTTTAAAAAATTCCCAAATTGTTTTGCAATACAGGAAACATTTCTCATTTAAATCATAGTTCAACCTGCAATATCATAATATATTTTCATATAAATTCATAGCAGACTCAATTTCTTTTATGAAATCTTTGATTATCCAATTGTGTCCCAATGATAACTTTCAGTGTATCTGCAGTGGCAATTCCTTGCCATAAATGGTCAAGCCTTTAAATCTAATCAAATAATAATTATGAGGTAAAAACCAGCAAGTGGCTACTGATAACCCAGTGATCGAACAAATATATAGAGTATTTGGCCATCAACTCAATGAATCACTATTTTCACTATTCATGGCGCCTATTTATTAGAAATGCACTTATTAATATTTCCTCACGCAGCGACTTGACCACAGGGGGAAGGCTATGGCCAAACAGTTCGAGTAATAAGAGCATTATACCGGATATATCGGACAATGGCAATGCTGCAACAGTTGTTGCATGTCTGCAAATTAATGACCAACAAGCTGAGAGAAAGAGAGCGGTAAACCAAATTAAAATCAAAACTGAAACGAAATTAAATGAAATGTGTTCGTTGCAATGGATTTTACCAGTGTGACGTCAGATTACAAGCAGATGGGGAAATTGCCAGTGCAACTTGGCTCATTTTTTTTTTTCTTTTTCTATATGTACTATTTTTGTATAGCATTGTAATGGGCAATGACCCGCCGAGCGGTTAACAAGTGACAATGGACAGACACAAAAACAAAACCCACTAATTGCTGGTTAGCTGGAACCGCGATCTCTTCTCTCTGTGTTCCCTGATCCAGAATTTCCCCATGTAGATCACGTTCACAGCCGCTTGTTGAGGTTATTAAAACGTTAGCAACGCTTTTCCTATTTTTAGTCATTTTCACCAACGAATATTCAAAAGTTACACTCACTTTTTGCTTCTATTTATTTTGATTTAGTGGCTCAGCCTATCGCCTGGCTTTGAGTCACAACAAAAAAAGCCATTGTTTCCTATTTTCATTTTGGTTTCGTATAATTTTACAACTATTTACCCAAAAACAAAAGATTGTTTTAAATAGAGGGGCATTTTTAGAAGCGGTTACGATATAACAGTCTAAGAATTATTTTGAAGTAGTAAAAGGAGTACTTTTTTTGCAACGAAGATAATTGAAGATCTTGCAATATTTTTCCAAGAATTTAATACTTATTAACTTTCTATTTTAAAGTGTTAATTTATAATATTGTTTATTTAATGTTAATATTAAAATTTTCGAAATATAGGCTATAGCCCAGAGGTTTTAATATTCTATAACCCATAGCTCCTATAATTGAGCCTCTCTCTCTACTTTTTTACCTACAACTAAGTAGGGGGGGAATCACATATTATAATACCACCGACCATAACCATAATAATAACAATATCAGACACAGCTACACAGTAACAGTCATAGTCGTAGTCCAATTTAAATAATTTTCCATTGGACATCAAGCTTAAATGCTGCCGAAGCCGGAAGCTGCTCATATGAGCATATCTCCTCTGCTGACACACGTACACATTTATTTATTTATTGTTATCATAATAATTTGTTTACGGACACTGATGATTACAATTGTCATCAGTATTGTGTATATAATATATGAAAGGCTTGCACTAATTCGCAGTTCTTTCAAATGAGTAATTCACTTTTAGCTTCTTTTATTTACATTTTTGTCAAGTTCCAGCGGCCTGTTATCACTGAGCGAAACGTTTACCCGTTGGCCTAATCTTATCACTCACTCAAACACACAAACACACTGATATCTTAACAGGTAAAAAGTTGAGGGTCTTTTATAATTTTAACCCAAATGGAAGGAGTTGTAGTCTTCTAGCCACAATATGTGATAAAATAATAAATAATTCTATTTCCGATTTATTGTGGGGAAGTCACTGCAGGGAAATTACCGATCTAATCGTAGCTACGCTCTATTGTGCACCTGTTCACCTGTTCAGAAATCGCGGGACTAACCTAAAGCGGTAACGATCGATGCCAGAGAAGAGACTCTGGCTAGTTTATTAGCCCCTTCTGTGCTTTTTGGGGCGAAAACGGAAAAAGCTTATATAAATATTAAATATTATTTAAATATTTAAATATATTTAAACATTTAATTTCTGCAATTTTGTGTTTTTGTTTTTAGCTGTTTATATTTATTTATTTTATTTTATTTCACCGCTTATTACTTAATGTAAGCTTTTTTGTTAGCATCACTGATAACGTCGACAAATTCATGGGCGCCAATTTATAAACATTTTAATTTAAGTGTGACCAGTAAGTAAAAAAGCTTTTAAGTTAATGAACGATAACGATAACGATATTTGGATTTTTTAGGGAGAAATCCCTTTTCGAGATTTTTACGAGAAGGCCACATTCTCGTCTGGCCACACTGTTTGAACACACGAAAGATTTATTAACGTTTTTTCGTCCACCGCGTTTCATCACCTGTGCCGCGCTCCGCTTTCGCAGGCGGCAGTTAGCAACCCTCAACGCAGCGACTCGGTAAATAACGTGGAGAAGTGAAGGGCCGCCCCCGAAATCGGGACAAGTGCACGTGCCATTGTGAACAGACGCGCCGCTGCCCCTTTTCCTCTGCTCCATTGTGACTCTGCACAATTAACTTGCATACACATCCACTCGCCGCGAACGTGTGTGTGCGTGTGATAGGGAGTGCGCGTGTGTGTGTGCCACCCCCTTGGGAAGAGGAAGAACAGGGTGCAGGAATTTTGCGCGTGAAACAACTTACAACTTCTGAAGATTACTTTGCATGCTGCGCATTTCGTTGTCCACTTGAGTTTCCATTTCCTCTAACATTTCGCTCGGCGCATTGCTCTCGCTGCAGTAACAACAACAAAGCAAGATACAAAATCAGACGTTGTTTTCCTTCTTTCTCCACTTTTATCGCAAAACAAGAGCAGCGCACTTGTAAATACAGTGAATGTCGGTTAACGTGAACGGAGCAAATGCTGATTTAGTGTTGCTACACGTGTTGTTTCAGTAGACTGCTATTCAATATTTTTACTTATTTGATTATAAATAAAAGAATACAAAATAAAAATGTACCTAATTCCGTTATCTATTTCGCTTTTAGCAACTTCGGGTCGCGTTTCTGCAATCAAAAAACAGCAGCCTAAATAGTTATATTCAGACTCCAAACTCTGGTAAGTTTTAAATTTAAATTAATTTTGATTAAAATTCCATAATATGTATGTATGCATATCTGAAATGCGGAAAACCAAATTGATTTAAATATAGTCGATATTCAGGTGTTAAAATATATTTCTGTATTTGCTCTTATAATATTGAAAAGAAGATCCTTTGTCCCCAGGTAGTCTTTATCATTTACTGATTAAGTAATCCTGTTCAAGCATGTCTCTCGTCCTGTCTGTTGTTATTGCTATGGTGACCACCGCGCACCTGGGTCACCGACCTGAGCGGGTCCTGTCAGGTAGAGGCGTCTCCATATAATGTCTGCACTTTGACAATCGATCTGATCCCGCTGCTTCCTTTCGAGGGTCTTTGCCTAGGACTTGTTATACTTGATTTATGGCCGCTTCCCGTGATTCCCTTGAAAACTGGTTTTCCGCACATCGTTGCCACCGTCATTATCATATATAGCCCACGACGACAGGCTTAATCATCGTTTCTCGTATGGATTCTTTATCTCAAGTTCCCTCTGAGTCACTGTTATTGTTTTGGCCGATGTTCGAATGTGCCTTGTGGCTTTTTCTGCATTTTTTTTTTTGTTTTGTTTTACTATTTGCAGTAACAATAAATACACATTTCAATCCAAATAATACATATTTGGATATTTCGTGCTTTTGGTTTATGTCTTTAGTTATGGGAGATTTTTATTTAGAATTGTTGATATACACATTAAATTTCCACCTAAACGCGTTGTGACTCAGAGTAATTGGTTAATGGGGAAAATTTGCTAGGAAAACGTGGTCCAGCATTACTTGTATATGTAATTAACATTTTTTTTATTATATTTTTCAAATTTGATATTCGTTGTGGTAAAGCCTGTATGTCCATATTTCGTTCCTAATTAAATCACACTAAAAATGTCGCCTGTTCGCTGTGGCTGAAATAATTCGATTTAAAGGTCACCCAAGTGACTTCCCAACTCTTTTTGTTCTCCCAGTTCATCAGCGCAAATATCCGGGCCTGCTGGGGCGGAGCAAAAATCAATATGTGCTAATATAATTTTGTGGCAAACAAATTAAAGAACCACAAAACTCACAGCTCCAGCTCTGCTGCTCTGATTTATACGTTCAATTGTTTATTCAGTTGATTTCGTTTGGTTTCACTGGTGAATATTTGATTAGTATTTAATATTTGATTCTGGCCAATTTGATTTGTGGGTAAACACCTTGGCTGCAGCTCTAGAAAGAGGCCACAACTGGGTTATG